CAAACATCGCCTGCAGTTCAGCAGTTCAGAATTTTTGTCACATGACAGTTGGTCACAGCTGTGTCACTATTGGCTTCGAGAGCTCCATAGGTTTGTTTGAGCAATTGCTTTTTTTCTTTTTGGATTTCTAAATGATACATGTAGAATAAAGTGATTTTGATGAAGTGTTTGCACTTTAAGCTCAGATTTTTCCAACAGAACAACACATCACAGACGACTTGGTCTGTCAGAAAGTTCAAAATCTTATCTGGTTTTGATAAATGCCGCAACTGTGATTATGATTTAAAGACAACACGCCTTTAATGTTGTTTCTGGGTTCAGAGGGTTATTAAAGTAATACGTTACTTTCAAAGCAACAAACTTAATGACCCCCTGAAATAACTCGACTGTAATTTATGACAACGCAGCGCTGAGAGGAAGAAAACAATCTCCAGCAGGCTGACTTAAGACAGCCTGCTTTTATTTTTACTAATGAGAAAAGAGAAAATCAGATCAAAGCCCAGCAGTTGGCAGCTTCTTTTCTGTTGCTGCTGGGAATGAGATGCAGAGCTGCGAGGCCTTGAAAACAGCTGCCCTGAAGGAGACTGAAGCTCACAGCTGACTGTCAGCCTTCGCTTTTTTGCTTTACTATTTAAAAATACTACAAGGAACCATGCAAGTGTTTCTACAGATGATGCAAACTGTACACTTTGGTGACCCTTTTCAAATGCATTCATTGCAGGTTTAAATTTATAATGTAAATAAATTGACACTACTGTTCCAGTCTTTGGTTTTTGTAAAAAATGTTTACTTGTAGCGTTACTTCATCCTTTTATGACGATGCTGTTTAAATGTAGACTGAAACAATTAATAAATAAATCTGTTACTGGATCAAAAGCAAATGATTTGACTACTTATTTGTTACCTGATTAAAAATCAACAACTGCTCAAGGGAGTGAATATTAACTTGTTTCCCATGTCTGTAATTATAGCAGACTGAGCATCTTTGGAGTGTGGATCAAGCAAAACAAGCAATACTGTCATGAACTTATTAATGAAGTTATCAATAAATTAGGGAGTATTTTAGAGATCAGAACAATGACTTGATTAATGAGGAACACTTACCAGCGATTAACTTGTGATTCACTGTGAGGGATTAAACAAATATCTGCTACTAGACTTTCATCGTGCATGGAAATCAGTTTAATGTTTCTTAAACAAAGAAACAAACAGAAGCACGGTTTGAACATCCAAACAAATAGCTGTGTGATGTAAAGTACAAGTGATTTGTTGTGTAACCGTAAAAGCCTGCAGCTGTAGCTCTTAGACGACTGGATGAAATTCAGAGTAACACCGAAGCACAACTGAAAATCTATATGTTAATGAATTAATATAACCTTTATCGCCTGCACAAAGCTACACAATCTCTCTGTCAAGATGAATTGGGGGTCTTTCATTTGGAAACAGAGTGGCCTCTCCTCCTTCATCTCTCCCTATTTGAAATGCCTGCTAAAAGGGCTGAAGTCAGTAATTGATTTTACCGCTCTAATCTCTTTTCTCTATTATGAGAAGATTTCTCCTCTGCACCTGGGGCCAACAGGCTTGTCTTTTTTCCTTATCTGCCCATGAGTACACTAGCCCCTCCCAGGAGGCTGCGGTAATCCCCATCACCAGGCTCTTCCCACACACACACACACACTCACGGATGATCCTCAGAGTCGACAGTACGCCAGACAGCGCCTTGAGCTGCCTGCCAGCGATGTAAAACAGACAGATGGAGCGGTGAAACCAGACACAAAAATAGCAAATCAAAGGCCATTTCAGTACAGTGACAGGAAAATCAGAGCACTTTTAAGCTAAATTAACACATTTTCCATCCGTTAAGAGAAGCAATCTGTCAAAAATGTAAATGTTAAACATGTTCTGGACGTTGTAAAACACATCCTTATTATTTGCATCACACCACTGTCCTCAGTCTCCCCTTTAGCCATGTGCCTTTATTTGGAAACATCCCTAAAATCAGGTTCACAGCAGTTAAAATGAACAACCTCGGGCTCTATGAATAAGAGAACATGGCAGAATTTTGAAATACAACACGTTTTCTAGTCCTCATCACCAGGTCGGGTTACTTGTGCCAGACTGAAACTGCATTTTAGAGACTAAATAACAGCCTTTTTAGCACAGATGAGTCTGATCTAAACATGCTCAAATGCAACTCCACCAGATCTGAAGCACAGAAAACCAAGCGCTGTATTCATTTCTATCACAGCAGAACCAGATGGCCTCTACACATGATCCACTCTTGAAATGTGTCTCAAAAAACACTAAAAACAGAAACATCCAGGTTCCTCCAGGTTGGAAAGTGTTAAACTGTATCATGCGGGAGCGAAGACGGCGACTGTCTGAGGCTGTGAGTCTGACATTATTTCAGCGTGACACCATAAATGCTCCTCTGTCACTGTGATTAACCACCTCGGCCGCAACACGCTTTGACTTAACGGGAGTCGACTGTGATGGCTGCGAAAGGAGGAGAGAGACGGAGTGAATAAAGATGGCCAGAGAGACATCAGAGAGGAAGTCTAGTGAATGCAAAGGAAAACAACCAGCCAGCTCCTGATTATATGCAAATACACAAGAAAGGATGAGCAATTTGTCACAGGGTGAAAGCTGAAGACTCTAAATGGAGCTTTGATCGTTTGATGGAAACTGAAAAAGCCTTGTGAGAGTTAAATTAACCTAATTTGCATGACTCATCTTGGCTTTCCTCTTAGGAAAAGGAGAACAGTGTCAGTGGATGGGAAGAGAGTCGAGTGCAAAATAGGATACAATAGACTCGAAGTGACAGCTGTTCTGTCAACAGAGTTCATTTAGTCAGCGATGAAACAAATGTACGTTCTGGTATATGTAAAGAAAAAAAAACACTGCATCTAAACCTCTGTGTTCTCCCCTCCTCACTCAGGAATCTGAGCAGCCTGCTTCAACACATGCAGCTCTCTGGATGATACAGAAGATACAAAACCACAGGCATCAAAAGAACATGATGTGGATTCAAGCCAGCGACAGCAACATCACGACCTTCTCCACAAACAAAACACTCACCAGAAAGGACTCGAAATTGCCAGTAATGTCGAATTGAGCAAATATGTTTTGTGCAGTTGCAAAAATCTAAATAATTAATGCACCACTTGCCTATGCTTGATGAATTTCATGTGTTTCTATGAGAATTTTAGGAATAGAAAGAAAATAAAAAACACAAATGCTTTGGTTGTTTGGGGGGAAAAAAAGAATAGAAAGACATAAAGAATATGAAATTCATCTTGAACAGCTAACGGCAGGAACATTTATATTTAATGATGCAATCCAAGTGCCAAGCTTCCATAAAGTTCAAAGTAATGATGCAGGAAGTCATACATTAGTAATTTTTTTTTGGAAACTATTTTTAACTGTAATGAACGCCTGAATAGGCAGCCTCATGTCTCCTATAGCTCCTTTATCAATGTAACCGCTAAATCAATCAAATTGTTTTTGCATATAGTGACTACATGACACAGATTTTACACTGTTTTCCTGAATTCAAGCTTTATTTGCTTTATTTTCTTCCTTAAATCCACACTTATGTTGGAATAAAACCAGCTAGAGCCCAACCAATTTTATCAGCTGATTTAGGCGTATCACGGATATATCCCTATCGGCATATATATTGTCTGATTTAGAAACCGTTTTTTCTCTTTCTTTTTTTAGCATAATGCAGAAAAAGAGCTGTGGGATTAGTTCATGATGGTGTTATTGCATAGATGCAGCACCTATGCCAGCAGTGTTGCAGAGTGGAGCAGTGTGTCAAATACATACATTAATGGATGAATGAATAAATACTTAAGACTTGATTCAACCTTGTTGTCACTGCACAGAGGACAAAGACAATGAAATGCAGTTGAACGTCTCACCATTAGTGCCCAAGAACAGCATATATATACATATACAGCAGTACTGTCCTGTATACAGCGCCCTCCATAATTATTGGCACCCCTGGTTAAGATGTGTTCTTTAGCTTCTGGTAAATTCTGTTTTTTTCTAAATAATATAGGACCACAATGAAAAAAGAGGAAAATTCAACCTTTAATTCAAGTGCATTTATTCAGTGTGAAAAAAAACCCACATTAAAAAATAATTCTTTTACATCAAATCATGTGTGCCACAATTATGAGCACCCTTGATGTTAATACTTCGTACAACCCCCTTTTGCCAACAATTCATTTGAGTTGACTTGAAGGTTACATTTTTCTACAATTTTCATTGTGAGAGCACGCTTCTGCAATAAAAACTGGATTTATTTTAAGGCTTTCAACACATCTTAACCAGGGGTGCCAATAATTATAAGATAAGATAAGATAAGATAAGATAAGATAAGATAAGATAAGATAAGATAAGCCTTTATTTATCTCACAGTGGAGAAATTCACATTGTTGTTAGCAGCATTAAACACCGAGATACACACATACGAGACAGAAAAATGCACATATAAATATAACAAATAGTGCAAACAAAAGAGAATAGTGCAAACAGAGTATGAGAACGAGGGCACTGTAAGTATTTGTTAGTATAATCAGCATCAGGTCATTTTGGATCACAGGTATCCTAATTCCACCAAAAAGTTCAGAAGAACACAAAGATTTGATCCAAAATCAAAACCAGCAGTTGATTAGACAATCAGCTTTCTGAATCCTTTTCCAGCTCATTGTCATGATTTCATCCAATCCAATAGCTGAAATAGAAAACTTCACAACCAACTGGGCCCACACGGTGTCTGTGTAGTACTCACTGGAGTCGGTAGATGGCGCCAGGGCCCCACGACACAACCAGCCTCCGTGTTATTTCCACTCCACGGCAGCAGATGGCAGCAGCACAGAGCACAGCTGGTCTCAGTCAAACATCCGACTCCAGCGGCTCTTTCACGGTCCCCCTGCTTCGGTTTCATAACATCAGAGTGCGTAAAAGCTGAGCGTCCCCGGTTCTGTGGAGCAGACCGTCCTTCAACATGAAGCGCGTCCTGTGCAGGAGGCTCGGAGCAGCTCTGTCCTGCTGCACACGCTTCCACGCTCAGCTAGTAAGAAACTGATGTCTTCATGCCCGAACATTAGAAACACGTGCATTCAAAGTGACCTCCCAGCTCACCTGTTCCTCTCGCAGGTGAGACATGAATCCACTGGACTTCCCATAATCCACCACAGCGGGTATGTGTGCGAGCTGCCGACCAACCACAGGTTCCCCATGGCCAAGTTCCCCAGAGTTCTACACTTCCTGCTCCAAGACCAGGTCATCACAGACAGACAGGTGAGAGGCTCATTGACACTACAAATGAATAATACAGCTGTTATAATAACTTAGACTCTACTTTAGGAAGAATCTGAGCAATATTGTCTAATCATAGAATAAAGAATTTGTACAATCTGGATATCCACATGTAGAAGAACCAGTGCTTATGTATGTTTTTTTAATTTTTATTTTTCCACTGATGATCCCTACATGTGTGCACTACAGGTTTTATAGGTCTTTAATTTATTATATCTCTTTATCTTTCCTACAACACATTGGTTTTTATATAAATCAGTTTTTCCCTGTACTTTAATTAGATGGCTGCCAATGTGAAGCACTTTGTGTGTTTCAAAAAAAGGCTATAAAAATACAGTTCATAATAATAATTATGACTTTTATTGTTATTATTATCCCCCTTGCTGCTGTACCATTGCACAGTTCCTCACTGTGGGATTAATAAAGGCTTCTCTTAGACTAAATTAACAAATAAATAGTCTTATGCTCTGAAAGAACGACACAACATGAGAATAAATGTGCTATTTAATAGAAAAGCAATTAGCTATAATACATTACTGATGATCAGAATCAGGACGCTTAAATAAGATTAGAATAGAAAAGTAAGAAGTAATACTTGCTAAGATTCGAGGTGTTACAGTTATTTGATTAGACTTGTTTTTATGCACGTTATTGGGCTGAAATGTCACTAAAACTCAACTGATATTAGATGATAACTAATTTGCTATTTGTTTATGATAATGAAATGTATTTTTCTGTTTTTGAGGAAACTGGCCATTTGTGGTTTTGGTCTGTAGTTTGGACAAAATAATCAAATATGTCGCCTTTGGGACTTTTTGTTCTAAGGTGGCAGCTTGATACTCGATTATTCAGTGAGAGACAAAGCTGGTAGATTGATGTTAAATCACTGCTTGTACAAAAAAATCGTATTAGTATTAAAAGCACATTCTCCAGTTGATGTGATTTTCCTTCCTCACAGTAGGTGTGGGTCCCTGAAATTGCCTCTAAAGATTTACTGAGCGGCGTGCACACCGAGGAGTACCTGAGCAACTTCATAAACGGAAAAATAGATGAGCGGGAACAAAGGAGGACAGGGTTTCCCTGGAGCGAAGGCATAGTGAGACGCTGTCGATATGAAACAGGTGAGAAGAACAAGAAGCGACTTGACAGCTGCACGGCGTGGAAAGATCACACCGCGCTGCTATCACCTTCTCTGCTGTTGACAGGTGGGACTGTTCTGGCTGCTGAGGTGGCTCTGCAGAGAGGTCTGGCCTGCAGCACGGCAGGAGGAACCCATCACGCCTTTCCCGGCTACGGTTCAGGCTTCTGTCTCCTCAATGACTTAGCGGTCGCAGCCAAATACACGCTGAGCAACTCCTCAACCAGAAGAAAGGTTCTGATCGTGGATCTAGACGTGCATCAGGTGGAGTTCACTTGTCACTGCTGTGATTCAAAGACCAACAATTAAGCTCGACTTTGTGTTATTCGCTAACTTCACCTCTTTTGCATCCAACAGGGCGACGGCACAGCTTTCATTTTTAAAGAGGAGCCATCTGTGTTTACGTTCTCAGTGCATTGTGGGAAAAACTTCCCCCTCCGTAAACAGCAGAGTGATCTAGATATCAGCGTGGAGGATGGGCTGGAAGACAAGGAGTATCTCTCCACAGGTACGTTAATGCAGGGGCCATGATGTGTTCAGTGTTTGGATGAGAACAGTGCTGCAGTCATGTCATCGCATCTCAAACGGAGCACTAATGTCTTCAGTTTTTTCAAAGATCATATATTTTTTTGCAGCTTTTTCTTTTTTTTTAAAAGCAATATAAAAATAGTTGTATGAAGCTATATGTGCAGAGCAAATGAATTAAAGTTTTCCTCAAGTTAACTAATGATTGTGTTGTTAACAGTGGAGCAACACCTTCCCTGGCTGCTGGAGAGTTTTCGCCCAGACCTGGTTTTATATGACGCCGGTGTTGATCCTCACTGGGAGGATGAACTCGGGAGGCTCCGTCTGACAGATGAAGGTGAGCGATTCTCCTTTACACACCAGCATCTCTGACTACAAATCACTTAGAGACTTTTTTTTGTGTCTCGTAGGGCTTTATCAAAGAGACCTGTATGTGATGAAGACGGTGGTGAGTAAAGGCGTTCCTGTCGCTACTGTTATCGGTGGAGGATACTCCAGAGACATCGACAAACTGGCCCTCAGACATTCCATCGTCCACAGAGCAGCAACTCAGGTAAAATGAACTGCGACTTAGACAGATTATTTCAAATGAACCAGTTCAATACAGAAATAATTACTAAATAAATCACCTTCTTCTTTGTTTTTCAGGTTTGGAGGGAGTGTGGGATGTAAAACCCTCATCTTCTGAACAAACATGTCGCATGTTTGAAAAATGATAGAAGCATCCTTCCTATATCAAGGGAAGTCCACTCAGGATATTTTAATCTGGAAAGCTGGTGCATTCGCCTGTTGGCTGAAAAGTGATTTAAAAAGACATTCAGTTCGCAGTAGTAACTGTACAACTAATAAATACTGACTCCTCGGCCACCTTAAAGGTAGCCGTAGCATCAGTTTTTTCATTTTTAGTGATACAACACTCAATACTGGGCTGTCAGCACACTGTGAAGCTGCTAAACTGGCTTCATGACATCCTTAAGTGGACTTTGCAAATTGTCCTGAAGCCAAATGCAAATAAAGGCAGATATTGATCATAGGTCATGCTGCTGCAAACACCCAGATATCGAACAGTCTTTGTTTAGTTCAGTAACTCAGAAATCTTGGTATCATTTGTGGTTAAAATCTCAGCTGTAGTTCAATCCTGCTGATTTCTTTCTACCAAAAATCTGAAAACTGTTAGTCTCACCTTCATAACTTGTCGTTTACACTTTTGTAATTACTTGTTCTCTGGCTACAGTAAAAAAAAACAAAAAACGATTTATGTTTTTTTAAATCCCTTTCTCGCCTCTACCTCATCCGAAACCGACTCGGGACTCATGAGCACATCTCGTTCCACCGGCTACCTGTTACCTCCAGAATTGATTTCAAGCTGTTATTGATTACTCACAAAGCCCTGAGAGATCTTGCTCCAAATTATTTATTAGATGTGCTCATAGATTGCCTGTGGAGATCAGGGCTGCAAACTCTGCCTCGTGTTTCAAACCGCTTTCAAAAACCCACTTTTGTAAACATGCATTATGTTTTTTTGAGAAGTTGTCCTGCTCGGCTGTTTTGAGGCTGCTACAGAAATAAAGTTTCTCATTACTGAACCGTACACTCTGTGGTTATTAACATGAACAGATGCATATTGTTGGTCAGTAAATGCAACACGAAAACACTAATGAACAAAAATGTTTAATAAGGAAAAATCAAACCCAGAAGTGTTTACATCAGGTCACATAAGACATTAAGGTACCGCTGCCACTGCAGAACAAACACAGTTGGTCCATACACACACACTGTACTGATGAGAAGATGCACCATCCGTGGCACAATGTTCACAGATCACCAGCATGTTTCAAGTTTCACCTATTTTTTTTTTTTTTACGTCATTCACTGACATCAAGCAGCGACATATTTGGTGGTGCAGTGCAATGTTTATTCACAGTATATGAGGCAGTTGATTTGCTGAGACGCACTAGTGTGCTCAGCCAAGTTACAAGACGATACACAACTATTGCAAATATTAACATCGAGCGCACACACTTGGCGACGTGATCTTTGAAACAAAACGAGACGATGGCACTAATTGTTTTGGAAGAGATTCTGCACGACTTTTTTCCACGACGGTTTTGTGACAGATTACGGTTTTACAGAAAGCCTCACCGAGAACGTCCGTGACAGGAACGTGCGACTGTAAAGCAGGCAGACACACGAGAAGTGAGACGTTTCCACTGAAATGAATGCGTTAAAACATGTAACAGCAGATGAAAGTGTATCTGGTAATCTCCCAAATACCTCCTAGGCTAATATTTGAAATCCAAAGACAAAAACAGTGCATTTCTTAACATTTCTTCTTACAGAAATGTTCTTTTAAAAGAGCTAAAATCAGCCACTGTGGAAAAAAATACTAAAAACAAATTCCTGACTGTAAAAGAGAACTTACGCTGGACATTTGGATACTGCTTGTTGGCTTCATGTATTTAAATACTTTAAAAAACTGTGGTATTGTATACAGTAAGAGCCATTGTTGAACATTGTCATCCTCTGTGTGCTAAAACATTACAGTGACCTTCTAAAACAGTGACACCCAGCTGACTCCTTAAATAAACATTTAAATAATAAAAAAATCACACTTTTTCAACAGCTGAGTAAAGAATGTCAGCGGTGGAGTAGTTTAGTGTTACGTGTACCTCCAACAACATCTCTATTCAATACTTATCAAATGTGTGATTCAGTGCTAAAATTTGAGGCAGAGGCGATGCAAAGTAAACCAGTTCAAATCAGATCTTCCACAGCTGAACTCTCTCTGCCACCACACACCAGTTGGCGTGGTCGAAGTAGGTGTGTTTCACGTGGAGCTCTTCGACGTTATTCTCAATCAGCTCCGCCAGCTCTCCCTCCCTGAAGACGTGATAGTACCTCAGGCAGGAGCCTTCCACCTGCCCTTTGCTCCCCCGAGGACTCCCTGTGCTTTCCCGCTGCTCTTCTCCCTGCTGCCCTCCCTCGCTTTCATCTTCACACTGCTTCAGGTGCTCCCGCTGCAGAGAGACGAGATCCGGCAGAGCCCAAGAGCCGCACTCCTGGGCCAGAGACACTGAGACGCTCTGGTTTTCTGTGCCGTTGTTGTTAGCGGTGCTGTTGTTGCCTCCGGGGTCGTTCTGTCCCTTGTGCAGGTCTGTGACGGAGCCGAACACGTCCTCCTCCGATCCGATCACAGACGGAGGGGAAAAGAAGCTGGAGACCTGCTTGATGAGGCCTCGTCCTCTCCCGCGCTGGCTGGCCTTGTTCCCCTCGCTTTCGCCTGAGGGGGAGGATAAAGTGCTCAGGTCTCTGGAGGACGAGCGGGAGATGGCTAAGCTCCCGAAGTCAAACACAGAATCCAGAGACCTGGAGAAGAACCACAGTCTCTGAGTCCTCTGCTGCGGCGCGCTGCGGGACAGATCTTCTTCGTCCGCCACAGAGGATGTGCTTCGAACCTTCCTGTGCTTTTCAGTGTTGTCTATGGCTTCGCTCACGCTCTGTGCTGTCGCTCTCCTCCTGGGTTTGACGTGCTCCCTGCTGAGGCCGGCGGGCGCGTGGGGATTGGGGTTCCAGGGAACGAAGATGTCCTGCTTTTCAAATTTACGCCGCTTCTGCTCCATGGCCCACACGTAGATCATGATGCGTCCACCCACTCGCAGGGTGCGAGCCATCTCCTTTATTGCTCGAATACGACGCTCTTTGGTGGACAAGTGATGGATGACTGCCACATAAACATAAATTTGTCAGAATTAAGTGGGATGGTGCGTAGGCATTTATTTAATTATGATGTTGTGTCACATTCAGCACTTGCAGTCAACAGAACACATCATGCACACTGTGGAAGGAGCACAAGATAAATTAACAGTGTGGGTGTCTGTTGTCATCTTTGGGCCTAATTACACTCTTTTGTTAGAGGACACATGAATTATTTCACACTGTTGGCTAGGCAACACAAGTTCACGGGGAACTGATGTTTATTATTATGAGACTTAATTTAATTCCATGCAAATGGCAGCTGCAACATGTATACGTAGGGAGCCATTTGTGCCCGAGTGGGAGGAATCAACAACATCCGAACCCCTCTTTAACTGTGCGCACGTGTCTGTTACCTGCAATAGAGAGCACAGCATCGAAGCAGCCGTCTCTGTAAGGCAAATGCAGTCCGTCACATATCTGGACTTCGTGTCCTTGGCTCCAGGCAAAGTCCACCAGGGGGCGACACACATCGCAACCCAGCTTGAACACTTCCTCGTTGATGTGGAGATACTTGCCATTGCCACAACCTGCCAAGGACAAGGCGGTCAGCGAGAGCGTTAGAGCGTGATTATGAAAGATAAGTGGCCTGATTAGATGTAACATATATGTTCCCTCTCTTTTAAGAGAGGCCACTTTTAGAATTACTTGTTGTGTTTCCAAAAACAATAGAAAAAGCACACTATATAATTGATCATGCGACACCTACCAATGTCAGCAACGATGCTCCCGGGCTGCAGGTCCAGCAGGAACTGTCGTACCTTTGGCCAGGCTTTGTAGCGGCTGTCGTTGAAATATGGAGCAATCTTGTCATAGACGCTGTGCACATGGTCTCGCTCGAGTCGACTGGCAGCCTCCTCCATCGTGTTCGTCCAGGCTGCCTCATGCAGCGGCTTCAGAGCATCATGGCTGCAGAAACAGAATAATCTCTGCTGATTTCTGAATAATTAATCCATTAAACAGTTAGCCTACTTCATTAGGAAAATCAAAAAAAAAAAGTAGACGCCTAAAGTGGACCAGCACAGTGGTGTTCTTCCAGACATGCTTGTTAAGGTCTAACAAGGTCAGCTGGAAGCCTTAATCAGCAGACACACTCAAACATCTGTCAGGCAGCAGCGGTAATTTAATGCCAAACCCTTCGCTTTGTACTTCAAGTACCAGCAGCAGCAGCAGCATTAGTGAGCCGCCCCAGCCTGCAGCGCTCCTCCAGGGCAGGCTGAGGTGAAACCCAACGAGTGCAGCTCAGTGGGTTGAATTTGTAATCCTTCGCTCATAACTAGAAATTAACCAACCGAACTAGGTCACGGCAAGGAGGCAGATCTCATCTCGCAAAACACTCAGCAGGTCCGCTTTCACAGCGGCCGTGACAAATTGTTTTTACTGCAACACAGAAGTGGAAAGTCAACGCATAAATCATTTTTTGTCAGTAACAAGATGCAGAGCGAGCAGCATCGATCACGTCTGAGTTAATGATTTTGGTTGGATATTTTACACTCTGTAAGTAGGCGCTGGGGTTAATATGCTGTCATCCTTCCTCCAGCGGTAAAAGCAGTGGGAGAGTTCAGGCATCAGCTCTTCCTCCAGGACTCATGTTCACCTAAGATGACCCTCATTGATTCTGAGGAGGACGTTCAGCTTCCCCGGAAATCCGCGGCTAATTTATACACATGTGAATAGACTTTCAGCCTGATTGCATTATTTTTGATTATCTGACAGCACTGCAACACAGCTTTAGTGGAGGTTGTTGCTGGTGCTTTTCATACATAAACGTGGCTACTTGCAGTTTCCTGTACATATATTTAACATAAATATGTTTCTGTTTTTGACCTGAAGATGTTGGAATGAGGACTTTAGAGCTAAACGCAGCATCGCCGACCACAAACATACAATCATAAAGAACTACCTTCAGCAACAGGCCGCCACTCCACTGTACACACTGTATGTATATTAAATTCAGAAACCGAGTACAGAATTCCAGACTCAACTGAGAATTTTGGGGATTATGTAATTGTGATGTTTGTGTTATTCACAGCTCCCACTGCAGTCATCTCAGTTTATTAGGATGCAGCCCACAGCTCCTGCAGTGCTGCTGCTGTGGCTCCCTCAAGCACTGTATGTACAAAGAGTTGTTCTGTGTCATTATCCGAAGGCTTCGATTGTTGCTTTAAGAAAAGAAAAAAAACAAAAAACGTCTCAATACGCAGAGTCCTCAATGACCTGTGTGGTTATTATCTTGTGGCTGAATTAATTTCATGCAAATCAAACCCACACATGAACGCGGTGCCCATCACACGTTGACTCCAAAGAGAATTTATAAGCGAATGTTTACGAAGCTGAAGAAATCAATCAGACTGGAGCGATCTTGGTAAGATTTTCAGAGCTGCCCTCTTGAAGAAATGAACAGCACGGCACCAGTGGGTTGAGATAAGTTAGAATAGCAGAAATACAATGAGCATTCATTTATCAAACTTAAACTGTTGATTTAGAGCTGTTGGCTGCTGTGACCTTTTCGCTTGAATAATCTTTTTTAAATGACAGATATTAAACTTAACTACTGAGGGAGTCGTAATCAATGACGAAAATGCCATTTTTAATTGGGTAACACAAAAATTAGGTTGTTTCCTGACAGATCAGCAGAGGATGGATGCTCCTCCTTCACCTGCATTCAGCATTGTTGTTGTATATTAAGCATTGAATCATCATTAAATCCCACAGAGCGCGTTACCAGTGAACTATATCCGTATCTTTGCTGTGAAGCATCCGTTTTGAAGCCACACACAAACACGTGGCCAGGATTGCAGCACACTTCTGATTTTTCACACTGTGTGCAATGTGACAAAGATTTTCAGCTCTATGTGATGTAGAAGCGAGCGAGAGATACAAGTTGTTCTTTTGAATCAGATGTGATGGATGAGAGCTGTCGGCGCTGCTAAGCCATCCCAGCAGACATCATATGTCACTGCCAACATGCAGCTGACACGAGTGGCAAAATCAATAATCACCGCAATGCATACATAAAACATACAACTTAAACCTTCCAAATGTGAATACGGTCTCCCACTCGTGTTTATCTCTGAATGCATTGCGTAATACTTCATTGGAATTCACCCCATCCTCCATCCATTCATGTTGGACCGTCAAAGAGAATAAAAGAGTGTTTCAAGTAATGAATTTCACATTAAATCAATCTAAAACTGAGCGTTGCAACCTAATGAACCATGTAATGCCACGCTGCACTTTGCTGATGAGGTTAACCAGAAGCACAGCCATCAGACGTTCCCCCTCCACCTCTCTTGATACGTCCTAGAATTTAATATGCACTGGTTCCCACTGTGCACACAAACGAGCATGACTGGGAACATTTACAACAGGATACCAGCAGCAAAGGCCGACCTCTGCTGCACGAAATGCAAATATTTCTCTCTCCCCTCACTGTGCAATAACAGGCTTGTTCATGCACTCCTGCGGTGGTAAATATAGTGCATGCAGCATCCTTCACTCAAGACCTATTTCTGGACCACCATCATCTGCATCACCCCGGCCAAGTGGAAGTAAAACATCCCTTATGCAACGCTGTAATCTGGCCTCTTTTCGTATTGTCTGTGTTCAATTGCGCCTGAGTTTTCCCCCTGTGCTCACTAGACTATGGTAGTCCTCAGCTGACATTATGTAACCAGCAGCTGGGGAGGCTCACAGCGCTGCCTCTGACTGACAATGGGAACTAAAATTAAATCAGAGGACAGAGGCAGCGTCCAGCGCGCAGATTTGTCCGAGGTGGAGGACATTCAGAGGATGAAAGGTGACATCGGCCTTGATCTTTCGTGCTTGCCCTGACAAATTGTCGGGGAGTTCCATAACGAGGTCTGTTGGTCACAGCAGATCTGCAGCCTTTGAACCCTCCTTGCATTATGGTGCACGTATGTAAACAAATGTTCCTGGACCATGTTGACAGCTGTGACCTCAGTGGTGCTGTTATGAGCAGACAGGGCTGCTGCTGCTGCTGCACACAGGCAGCCGCAGAGAACAGGTTTATCCATCAAGTATGCCAGCAGTTAATGACTCAACATGTGGTGAGAGGTCGAGAGCTTTAGTCTGCTCAACTTAGAGTCCCCTCATTACTGTCACTGGAGTCACAACGTGCAGCAAATAACATGCAGCAGATATGGAGAAGGATGGAAACACTGCAGATCAGTTAAATAACAATCTCAGATGCTCTCAATTACAATGAACTGCAGGATCAAATTTAGTCAGATTTCAGACTTGTGTATGTGAGCTTCAAGTCCCATCAAAGTTTTTTTTTTTTAACAGTAGAATCTGAATTAAAGAAAACACAAGGTCGCATGTACACAGACATCTAAGCAACTATAACATAATTTACACGCTGCAATAAATGCAATTTTCTCATAACAATCTGCACCAATTCCCCTAAAATGTTGTCCGAAAATGCAAATTCACTTACCGTGAACGCACCAGGCTCCGTGCAACAATCCGCCTCAGTCCTCAGGTCGCTGGAGGAAAACTTCCCTCTGTGGATCTATAGGATCGACGTGTCACCGGGATCAGAGGCCGGTGCTCCACACGGCGGCACCGAGCCCACCGTCACCGACATGGTGAGGACGAACACCGTGAAACCGAAGCAGAGCCCCGCCGAGTGCGACGGCCAGCAGCGTACTGCCCGCAGGACGGCATCAAACCCACAGCACGTTGAGCTGCTCACCTGTCAAGGTGGAGGGAGAGCGGAGCAGCACATCCGGGTGTGGGTTTCAAAATTAAAGCATTTATAAACGGAACCGTGTTTGCGGAGTGCAACAACGCTCCCGTAACTTCAAGTGAATAAAGGAAATGTTTCATCAAGTTTGGGATGTCGTGATAGTACTGATGATAAGCGTGGTATTAAAAAAAAAAAAAAAAAAAAGAAAGAAAGAAAGAGAGAAAAAAGAAAAATCATGTTCTTGTTCAAATAAAACACTTAAAAAATGTAGTAAAATAACAATCTCATAAAATGTTGTAATTTCTCATATTTAAAATCCATATTCTACCCTTAATTTTACATGCAATCTATCATGTATTTTGTGGGTTTTCTAAATAAAGGATATTTACATGCGTTAAAAAAATTACCTATGCAATAGAAAAATGATAGCTAGATCGATTACTGTTTCTTATCTACATTATGCACCGATTACTGCATACATTCAATATTTTTGTTGGGGAGTTTGTTGCAACTATACAAGATATCTCTCATTTCACAAACAAATCAATGTGAAATTATAGCATCAGCTCTTCTATTTATGTTAATTGTAACATTAGGAATATATTTATAGCATTAAACTTGACTTTACCAGTTTCATTTGTTAAAGAAAAATGCAATATTGAAATATAGTAAAATTAGAATACATTTCAAATGTATCTTGGTACTATCTTTATGTCAAAAACATGTTACAGGTTTTAGTCAATCAATTTAAACTATTCTTAAAAATGTGTACACACTTTATTCGACTCTTCTGTTGATCTATTTTAATTAGTTTTATTTTAATCTTCTGTATTTAGTATTTAGTCTGTATTTGTTTGTTTTTTAACATGTAAAGCACTTTGAATAACTTCTGTGTACGACACGATGCTACATGAATCAACCTGCTTGCTTTCAAGTATTTACAGATGTCTTTTTTTTATTATTTTTTTAACTGTGCGTATTGTACTGAAAGTTTTCTTCTCGAATAAAAGACGCTTTTATTTTGAAGAACATGTGAGCCGTTGTCTGGTCTTATTATGAAAGTCTTGACGCAGCTGATGGTCGTAGGTGTGTAAAAAGATGACACGCTGTGCGGCCGCAGAGCTCGGCTCTTATTGGCTGTCAAACTCACGTGACGACCACAATAAACAACGTGAACCGTATCTGACAGCTCACGAGAGCCTGATTTTCTGCTTTATCCTTTTTTCCCATCAGGACATTTAACTGCTGTTTAAATTCAGTGTTTGCATCTGAAGGCTGCAACATGACTGGACAGTTTAATTTAGAGGCTGACAACAATCCATCAGGTGTACATTTACAATACGGACTTAACCCATGTGGTGGGAATTAAAACTATACCTGAGTTTTGTTTGATTCTTAAAAAGGAGCAGCCATGCCAAGGATCTCTTTGACATCAAACAAAGGATGTATTGAGCTGCAGTTTCCTGTTCGCCCTGATTTTCCACTTGCATAGGCATGAAATGTATGCAACAGCTGCGTAAACATTAAAATGAAATAAGAATAGCTCTGCATTCTACACCACTAAGCATTTCTGGTTAGTGTGATACTTGACATACACTAGTCCATCGTGTCCAGTTTCTTTTGTTCCGTTTCCCACCTGAGTGTCTGCTCTGATTTATTCCGTCCTTTTTGGCCTCTAACATGGTTAATAGCAGCAGTAATAACAGTGATTCTCTGCTGCCATTCAGTGGGCACAAAGCACTAATCACAGCTGTCATCACTATTCAAAGCACATGTGCTCTTTCCTGCTGCACATTAACATCACACACACACACGCCAGCCACACCTGGCCAGCACACCGTTCAAACACATTTACACTGCTGGCCAGCGAGCAAAGTGAGACGCTGAAGGTGTCGGCAGCTGCTCAACTGTCGGTTTCTATTCAAGCGTGAAACCAGTTAGCAGTCACGTACCGTCCTACACGGTGTTTGTGTTGCGAGGACAGGATTCTTCCCAGATTGGTGTTTTTTATGCAGCTGCTCCTCTGAGTATTCTCTGTCTGACAAAACAGCACAGAAAAAATGCAAAAATAGAGGAAGCCAGCAGCTGGGCGATGTTATCCGTTTGTTGACTTAAGACACCACCATTTACAGTATATTTGGTTAAAGTCTAGTCTTTGTTCTCTCACCCTCATGAAACCGGCTTTTGTTAGTGCAGCCATAAATCTACAGGCCTCAGCTAGAGACCTGCAGTGGAACACTCAGATCAGGTGTTGTCATCTATTTAGACGCCACCGAACAAGGAGGGAGCAGAGGAAGAAGGTCTGGGATCAGAGTGGAAATCCGCCAAGCATGCAGCGGTGACAAGCCCTCCCAGTAGAGGCTGGGTCAAGGTTTAGATATCTGAGAGTAAAAAAAAAAGAGGCGACACTAGAAGTACAGGCAGCAGGAATGTTTGTATCTCCTGTTCTCTTGTCAGACGCACCGCTGGGTTATTGAACAATGGCGACGTGTGACGGATAATCAATCATGTCAGGATGTCTGCCACGGCGTGAGCCAACGGATTCCAGTGTACATGCTGCATTGTGTGGATCCTGAAGGTTGAAGCTGTCGTAGCAGGAGGAGGAGAAGGCTGCAGCAAGCACAAAGGACGCTTCCTCTCACTGCATCTCTTATTCTCATCATCCATCACTGGTTTGTCTGTTATAAACGTAATATATAATAGAAATAGCAAAAAAAAAGTGAATGGAATCCATCTCCTCTGGTTGATTCTGTTCCTGAACCTGGACTGGACTCGCCTGCTTGTGCAACTAAACTAAACATACAACGCTGACTTTTACCAATCCTGTATACCTTGAATAAATGAACTAACTCTACTACCGACCTCTCTGCATGCAGGGATGTGCTCCTGAGACAACTGTTCCACCCAAAAATTTGCATCTGCATGACTCATGCCCCGTTGGGAAAAGCCATCTAAACCTAAAAGAGGAGTAAAAGTGCTGTGGCCAGATGGCTCCTCCAATCAAGCTCTTCAAACCAAAACCCAATGGCCCAGCGCTCACATGAAATCTCAAGCAAAACAACACGAGGGAGACTACACGAAAATAGAGAACAACTGCTGCTCATGGAAGCCAAACACACAGCAAACAAACAGCTCTTAACCCGAAAACCTGCATCGAGGAGAGAAAAGAAAATACAAATAAACAGAATTTGAAACAAACTGGGAGAAGATTGACATGAGAAAAGGGTAAACAAATGAGATTTAATCACTTAAATAACTGATAAGGTAAATAAAGATAATCAGGGGAGTCAAGAGTAAAGTGTAGGAGGTTCAAACAAAACCACAAAACACATCCAAACTGGTTGGAGATGATTCTTCTAAGAGGAAGAAAGGGAAAGAGGAGAGCTCAAGATCCACATTGCTAAGGTGTATTTCATTTCCTGATGCACTCATGCTTCTCTGCTCCACCATTTGCTTTGTCTCACATCAATGTGGTACCAGGCAAGGAGAGTGGTTGGTGAAAAAAACAAGCGTTATTGTTCCAGGTTTAACCCTGAACAAGCTCCCAGTGCTGCAGAAACACTACACTTCTCACAAGAACCATAATCAGCAAAGGAGGCACTTATAAGAAATTGTCTTCAGTGAAGCTATATAAAGTATGATTTGAGTTCCCTCCTGAGAAGTATCAGTGGCGTCCTGTATTTTTCATCAGGTCCCCCATTTGTAGATGTATCATCTCCTCAAAGCTTCCCTTTGTGTGACGGTGTTTTTCTGGTTATCTTGCTGCTTTTATCTGCTTTTGTTTGACACCTAGTTGTATTGTTATTGTTTTATTTACCTCACATTGACTTTCTCTTTGGGGTCGATACCTAGTTGTGTTTATTATCATGGCTTGTATTTGTGTTAATGCAATAGAGGATTGTATCAGAAAACTATTCTGTACAGAGCAGTTATACAATCTGAGTGTAATCCACTAAACCCCCAACTTCCAGGTCTAACAGCACCACTGCTTTGGAGCCCATTTTATTTTCTGTTTTCATAAATTATTCACCATATGTCCTCAAAAATGCCAGGGTGGTCAAGTACACCGATGACTCAACTGTATTCGTGGGCAAATCTACATGGCTAAAAATGAGCCAACTAGTGCTGAACACTACCACAACTAAATGTATTGTATTTGGAAAGTTCTTGATATGATATCAATGGAATCATATCACCCATTCCTTCACATATGTGGTCAAGTGCTGCTACAAAAAAAAAACATCTAAAAAAAAAAACACCTTCAAATTGTACAGGACTGAGCAGCCACTGTGGTTTCTGTTCTGACATGTGCGAGACACAGAGATGACTAACTTGGCAAACGATAGAGGAGACAGTAAAAAAGTCAAGCCTGCTGTTATTTATGCAAACTGTGACATTTCATAATAGACCACATTTAAAAACACTGGTTTCTACTGGGTTCTCTCATGGTTATATGACATGTCAGGTGAGTTCTGGTTGGCTGGTCATATCTGTGGTCTACCTACAAATTATATGAGAAATGTTCCTTATAGAGGTTCTTCTAACTGGAATTCTGTCAAACAGTTTCTTTCAAGACGTCACAAGAAATTCAGCTGAGAAGTGACTGTTTTACTGCTGTTTTTCTCCCTTTTGCTTGTTTGTTTTTTTAAAATCTATTTTTGGTGCCATGTTTCATGTCTGCTTTTACATATTTAATGCCTATTTTTAATGTCAATCGCAGCAAGACTCGCTGAACTTTACAACACGGTCAATGAACTAACTAATAGGTGAGTTAGTCATATTTAATACAGGCTGACTATAGTTTTTACCTTTCATATGTACATACAGATTTCTGTATTTAGAGATCAGGGACTGGGATTTTTGTGCATCCAGTAGGAAGCACCGGTTGGTTTGCTTCTCCAGAGATAATGAGTTTTCCTGTTTCTGACATCCTGTTGTTCAGTATACAGTACAGCTCAATGTCTGAAGCTCTTACGCTGCACTTATGCTTTCAGTTTACGACAAACTTTCATCATGGTTCTTTGTGATTTTCACAGATCATACCTGAGACCCCGAGAAAGAAAAAAAAAGGGGCTTATTCAGGAGGCTGTTGAGGCGGATCGACAAAGTGTGCTGCTGCTGTTTCAGCACTGACGCCACTTTGCCATGAAACTGGACAGTTGACCTGAGCAGCAACCATCTGTTTGCTGGAGGTTGCTGCTGTTGTACATATTTACATCTTCTTCTTTTTTTTCCCATTATTTTCATTTTTCATTTTTATTATATTTTACAGTTTTCATTTTCATTTATTGTTTTTAGTTTTATTATATTTTACAATTTTCAGTTACATTTAGTGTTTTCAAGTTGGCAACACTGCGCATGCCGGCGGGTGTTGCATGACGCACGTTTTGAGCGACAAAAAATTAAACATGTTTTATTTTAATGTTACAAGATCACCATAATCTTCAAAATTAGAATTACATTTTAACAACTAACCAAGTAAAATAAAATAAGTTGAAATGAAATACTCATTATTTATTTTCTGAAGCCACAAGGAGCCGCAGCAGAGGTATGAAAGAGCCGCATGCGGCTCCGGAGCCGACCCATGAGTTAATCAAAGTCCTGTGGTTTCCTTAAACGTCTGTGACTATCTGTGTGTGAAGGATTTAAGCTGGCTACCTGCTGGAGTGGTTGGAAATAACCCTATTGTAAATTAATAGAAAACAGAATGATCTTTTCCTGTGGAAATGAACAGCTTCCTGCAGCAGTTCCTCCACCCTCAGTGTGTGTCAGAGCTCCTGCTCACGTGCAGATTCACACTTTATCAAGGTCCTGCTTGTTGAATGGCTCCATGATTTCAAAGGTCAAAGCTTTTACTTTAAAGACGTCGACGGCAGCTGTCACCCCGCGCCATGCTGAGAGTATGATGACGCTCTTGAAGGTGAAAAGAAAAAAATTTACTCTCCATTAAATTTTCAAACAAGACGCATGGAGCCATCAAAGACTCTTAAATGCTTTTCAGGAGCACTGGTGCACAGCACAATTAAGTACAAGAATAACCTAACTCCTCTTTGTTAGTGGCTTTTTTAGGGTGCTGTCTCTGCCTGTATGCACCAGTGTTTTACGTTCCAGTAAAGCATCACAGGCTTCTTGTTTTAAAAAATGTACGACTCAAGCTGCTAACTCTTCACTGTATACGGTGCTGCACTGCCATCCACACGGCGGAAAGCAAACCCACTTCTTTAAAACTGCCTCAACATTGATTTTCTAGAATCAAGGTCATCGTTATCTCAGGGAAACCCGACCAAACAGCTTCGCCCTCATATCTAAGAAACACAGACACCAAACACCTCTACACTCCGCGGTGCAAGATTCAAAAAGCTTTTATTTATCAGACGAAAAAGCTAAAAAATGTCAACGATTGATGCATTAGCTCATTCACACAGATTTCTTTTCAAAATAACAACCAGCCACACAGAACAGTTCATGGACACTCGCTTGATATTAAATTTTAGGAAACTCAACGACAATTTAATATCTCTGAGGGTTCCAGAAACTGCTCAGGAAATTACAAACTGGTTTTTACTGTCGTGTTGTGAACGTAATTCTTAGTTGTTGGCAACTACTGACAGATGGATGACTGCAATGAAAATCAGCTTAGCATTATCCATCATTTCACTTTGTGGATAAATGTGTTTGTCATGCCAAAATGAAAACAGCCCTTCCTTGCATTTGTTCAATATTTGCTTTCTTGTACCTGCTGCAAATCAGACAACTAGAATCCCAAGTCATGCAGCTCTTTTTGATTCTTTCTAAGCTCTATTTTCTACAGTCTTGTCACAAATGATCTGAATTCAATTATGTTCACAATGTTTCCATTGTTGCTGGATTCGGTAGATCAGTGCTGTGTCAATAAACCTCCAGACAAAAGTATAATGAACACTGCAGTCTGGTCAATATATCAGTAAACCCAATTACAAGGCAAAAGCAGAAGAATAATGTTTATCTACTGAAACGGATCAAACATTCACTCGAGTTTTAATGTTATAAAAAAAAAAAAGAACTGCTGTGGGAGGATTGATTCTCGACAGCTTATGAATGAAACACTTTGCAAAGCAACTGGAAAAAAATCTAACTGAAAAATGAAGCGCAGTCAGGATAACAGAACGATGAAACCTGCGTGTCTCAGACTGGCTGGAGGAACATCAGTCTAAACACTGCAGAATGAGGTGACGTGCCTGGGAGAGGTTTCAAAAAATCAGGAGGAGAAAACACTAGAAGAGGTAAGAGAGCCACAGTGACGTAGAAGAAAGGTGATCAGAACAAGGACATCTGCTTGACAACATGTAACAACCTGTAGTCTTAAAATGACCACCACGACATGACCAAACTCACATTGACTCCTGAGATATTATTGTGAAATGTTCCTGTTTTGTCATCTTCTCTTTGCCAAAGCCAGCACATCGTTGGGTGGAAAAAAAACCACATCTTACTTTATGTGCTTCCAATTGTCAGTGAGCTATTTTTAAACAAGTGGAGTCTGCATAATGTAAAGCAGAGAACAAGAAAGTTAACCCAGATCTGTCACACGAAGCTCCACAGAAAATTACCACCATGTCGCTAATAAAGCCCTTGTGTCTTATGTAAAATAAAATAACACACTGACGTAAAGATTTCAACCAACACGTAGGATTCCAAACAGACTCAGGTCCACTCCTGTGGAAATAATTCCACAGAACACCGCTTGGAAAAACATCAAGTCAACAATACAGGACCTCTGTGCGCTGCTTTAATGAACGCCGGGGGGAATAGAAAGGCAAAATGTGATTTCCTGTGAGACGCAGCAATGAATGCTATCAGACAAAGACGTCTGCACACTCACTGCTTCTCATATCGGAGCCCTGAAGGTCTCCATAAACTGGTTTCCGGCAGTAATTTGCAGCAGGATCGCTGAGATTATTCTGCTTTGGCCAAATGGTCTCATGAGAAAGTCAGTATGTGCCAGAATAGTTAATGTGTGTTCTCAAGTTCTTGTAAATTTATTATTGCTTCAGTCCATAAATTATTTCTTATACTCGTTTCCATCTGAGCACCAGTACAGTTATCACTCCTTATGTTTAGACTGATTTCAGTGTAAGGCATCCAATTAAATCCACAGCGCAACAACGTACTCGAATCTTTTCAGCAGTCTGCGGTCGACAAATCAAGTGATTATCCTCCAATCGCAGTCATTTCAGTGGAAAATTTCTGTTTTCTGTCGTTATCCGTTCACCGCAGCTAAACAGGGAAACACATGGCTGGACTTCTGTACTAAAAATAGTGTTGCTTCATTTGTCTAACTCCAACTGTTGAGGCGTTCCAATTAGTTTCTGGTAGTCTGACAACTGCGGATTTAGTCCACCGTCACTTGAACTTGAAAACACATTAAGAAGAGCCAGTGTGAAGAGGAGAATTACAGCAGCCTCTTTCACTGTTAATCTGGGAAGCAGACTGTCTTGAAAAATTGGCAACATAGCAGTCCAATTCATCAAGACTTAAGAAAGCGCTTTTCTCCTTGGCTGACAGGCACCTACTATTATCTGATGTAAAAATATTTCCTCTGAAAACTGATTTGTGAAAGAATACAACTTGCCACCATAGAGACCTAACAGCAAAAACACAACAGTATCAATGCAGACACAGCGTATCTAATTATACAGCTGTATAAAAAAGTCCTTACACAACAAACTCCTGAGTGCTGAGGTCAGGAGCTAAATAAACAGGATCAATTTAATGTTGAATAAAATTAAACGTGGCACTAGAAGATATTAGTCACTTCCTGGAGGAAGAATGAAAATTGCCTTTTTATGTGCTTTGCGGGCAACAGCAGAAAACCTCTCTGTAGTGGAATAACCAAAAAGATCAACTGCTTCTGAAACTTGTGGCTGACCAGAACAGAGTTGGAGTTTTTCAGGGGATTTCAGGAAATCAGAAGACGCCAAAAACAATGTTAACAACTAACTGGTAATCGCTTCAGACAGGACAATGACTTGGGGCAGCTGAGGACAACCTTCTGGTTTTCTGTGTTGTTGCATATTGGACCGAACACACAAACTACAAAAGGACAAATGTGAAATACAAAAATACTGCGGATTCATTTCCTATCAAAGATATTACACACGTCAAATTAACCGTAGCGTCTTCAAAAAATAAATCTCTTCTGTTTATACATAAATGTACAAGAAAAAAGTATATTAAAAAATCTGTATAAACAGAAGCTAAAAATATTTACACCAGCATAAAAGAGTTCAAGGCAAATGATTTGGCTGTTCAGTCCCTGTAGAAACTAATAGAAATCTTGCGTTTCCCTCATCATTTGTGGCTGCTCAGGGTGACGCCTGTGGTTCACATGAGGTGGATCTTGTGACCGCATGACAATGTCTATGGAAATGGGAAATGAAAAACGATCCAGCATCTGAGCGATCTTCTCATGAGGAACTCCGTGTTTGTTCCTCCTGGAGGGAAAACAATGTGATAATATTAGAATGTGAAGTTTGTAGATGTTATTCAAATTCTACAAGGTATGTAAACACAACAGTTAAGAACTCATACTTCTCTAGTTCGTAAGGATCAAATTTCCATCTGGTGTCAGGTTCACAAAAGTCCACTTTGTATCCTCGTTCCAGGGCCTATTAATGTAAGTTGAAAATTTAAGAGGATCTTAAAAAACAAAATACTAAATTCTACATAGAAATTAATATGTAACATCACCACTTACCATTTTGACATATGGCTTCATTTCCCAGGCTTGGATGTTTGTATTATCAATAATGATGGGAGAGCGGCCATCATGCAGAGCATCTTTAGCTAAAACACACGCAGAAGAAAGTTTTGAGAAGTTTTAGCAAGAAAATAAAAACATTCTTCAAACAAGCATTTCACCCTCTTAGATTAAACAGTGGACAACCACAACACTGCAACTCTTCCTTATATGTGTCTGAAAATACCCTTACTGGGAATAAAACAGTAAAAATTGTCCTGACAGAAATGCTTTCATGGTTGCTGCAAAGAAACCTTTTAACATAACATTGAACTTGAATGAGCATTTATGGAGACAATACCTCTCCTCTGGTTCCATTCATGTGCTTTTCCAAGAAGACCTGGCTCATAGTGGTAGCCATCTTTGTATGCAAAGTAGTCATCTGTGCTCAAAATGATCCCACTGGGACCAGTGGAGAGCAGCTCCCTGTCAGAGGATTGTTCAAGCAATACAGAGTTAAGAATACATTTAAATGGACAAAATGCAAATTTATGAAACTCAAGATTACACATGCATGTACCTGGCCATTGTTGATTTTCCAGATCCTGGTAATCCCCTCATCAAGATCAACACCAAGGCTGGGGGGTATGTATGAGTATCCTCAAGGGGTTGGTCATGATGCCTTCGCTCCCATACTTCATGTTCATCAAATCTCTGCTGCCTCTCAAAATCGGCATCATACTGAGACCATTCTTCCTTTCTATCTCTAGACCACCTGTCGGTTCCCTCATCTGAGAGTGTATCATAGCTGCAAGCTTGTTCGTCCCTGTCAAAGTGATGTGGGGAATCTCTGTGAAAGCCCTGAGAGGGGTGACTGCGCACACTGGGCGGTGGGAAGCTGGAAAATGCTGGAAAATGCAACTCATTTTTGTACTGGTTTGTCATGCCTGGACTGGCGAAGGTAGGATTCAGATGCGGTGGCGGGTTTCGTGGATTTGGGAATGCAGGTGGTGGTGGTCGATGAGAGACAGGCGGTCTGTGAAATCTTGGATCCGGTGGCCTGTTCGCTGGTGGAGGATAATGCCACTGGTTCTGGTTAGAAACACCATCACTAGAGCTCAGGTCTAAGCCTGGCCTCGGTCGTCTGGGGTAGTATGGTTCATTGTGATACCAGTGAGACCAGGATGACTGTTTCCCTCCACTACTTCTATGGTAGCCGTCTGTTTCTGTGGTTTCTGAGTTTCTTGTGCTAAGAATGTTCTCCTCAAGTACATGCTGAGACTGTTTGCTTTTAGACAATTCAGGAGATATGAGTGGTTGTACAAAGCCTCCATCTTGTTTCCCCGGGTTACCATTAGCACCATCTAGTGTATCGATCTTCCCAAGCTCTTTGTAAAACTCACTTAGAGAGTCTTCAATGTCAGACTTGGCTGTGGTTGTTACTGGAGGAAATGCTGGACCGATGAATGCAGTGCTGGTGAGTCCTACCTCCTTTAATACGCGGTCCCTCTTGCTTTTGTCTGGACTACTGCAGTCGTCCCTACAGTCTTCCGCACTTTCACCCTCACCGGGGTTTACTTTAGATGTCGTATGGGAGAATTCAGTCTGAGACATCTGCACGGAAACATATTAAAACAGTTAGTTTACGGGACAACCACAAGAAATATAAGAGCGTCATGATAAGGCAACTGGTTGTAACTGACTGATTTGAAACAGGTGGTTTTGAGAAAGGAGTGAAGGGAGTCATCTGGGTTAAACTGCACTTGTAACACAGTCTTGAGATCTCGTCCAAGAAAGTTTTCCTAACATTAACACTTTAAGTCATCTCGGACATGACAGCTTCACAACCATTCACAACTGAAAAGAGTCTGGGGTCGTGAATGGACCAATAGCCAGGCGATTTGTGAGTGACAAAATATATCTAGGACTCGACATCATTCCGTTAGAAATAAAAAAACAAACTCTTAGATGAAGGCTCAAACGTGTTAAAGAGCCAAACAGAGAAACGTAGGTTGCCTTCTACTGAAGCTGTTAGGATTATCAAAACCGAGATACACAAACAAGCACAAAAATCCGATTTACCATGTCAGAATGTAGTTAAATCAGCGATATGTGAAAGTGTGTAACCGCAAGTACATTTAAAAATATATACATATTCACAAGTTCCCTGAAGTCACTAAATGTAGCTGCAATAATGAGCTAAGATCGAAACTAACCCGAGAGCCAACGGTTAACCGTTAGCAAAGGTGCCACCATACGACTTGTAAAGAAGACGATGAATTAAAACTAAATAAAAACAAATAAACAACTAACTACCTCAGCGTAACAACAAATAACAAATGTCGATACTTGTGAGTACATACCGTTCACATTCGGAAAGCATAAGGAAAAAGAAAAAGCGACATTAACCGAACACCCGGTGCTCGGTTTTCACATTGCAGGTGCTTTCTGTTTACGGAAGTGACGTCACACGTCTTCTTCGTGTTCATAAGAGTGGATGAACCAGAGAGCGGGTCCGCCAGCGCCTCCAGCAGGACTGCAGCGACACTGTAGACGGTCATTACTGGGGATGGCAACAAAATGCATACAAAACATACACAGCTGCCACTTTATTAGGATCAGCCGTAAGATTCAGTACAATTCAATATCATTGTTCTGCCATAAAGTCAGATTTTATGATGCCTTCATTTTTATATTGTCACTGAGGTACTACTAATGAAATTATCAGGCCATTGTAGTGCTGTACTGGACTTAATTGAATATCTTGATGCCTCTATGTTTATGAATAAGTCGCTCTAAATTTTATTATTAGAAAAGCAATATATTTCAAGACATACTAGCACATAGTGTTTGTGCCAAGTACCTCTAAGTCAATCTTAGAATAGGATTAAATTCATGGAAGCAATTATAATGAGCTTTTTGGGGAGTAATTATACACAAGCAATAAACCGTTTTTATACATTTGGCAATTTCTTTATAGTTTGCAATTTAAACATGCCCTAGTTTTTCTTTTTTAGTAGTAGTTTATTAATCAATATAATGTTTTTTTGTATGTGAACAAGTACGTATTACGAATTGCCACACAATACAACGTTTATAGCTGAAGCTAATTTACAACGCCTGCCTCTAGATGGGTCTGTAAAATACATCGACAAGAAATAAATAGGGGGCAACAGAAAGACAAAGTCAACCCTAAACACATACATTAAAACCACAAACCTCAGAACTCAACCAGAAGATAGAGCATTACTTTAACATTACAAAATCTATAGTTTTATTTTTTGTTTTCAAAGTAGTCTTTAACTAATTTAAGTGCTTGATATTTTGGTTTGTTCATTATTCTGCCATCTTTTGAAGTATACGGTATGTATGTTATTTCAGAAATCACCGACAAAAAACTATAGTGTCACTAGTCGGCCACTAGCATTCAGTTATTGACCATCCAATAAGGCAAACACAGGGAGTCATTAGAGATAAATAGCAGGAATATATTCTGAATTTCTGTAAAATTTTACTTTACAGACAAATAAGTAGACTGAATAGAAGACTGCAGACCAGTGTGAAGTGATGACATGATTTTACTTTTGAAAAACTTTGCTCACTTTAATGAGTCCAGTGAGAATACAAAAATAACCACAGAACATCTTATTCACAGCCTTAAACCTTTACATTCAGTCATTGTACAGTTCTTGTTTTAAAGTTGCAGTGTGCTTGTCTCTATACAGTCAAATCTACCTACAGTAAATCACCACCATGCAATGCCTGAGTATCAATCATAGCCAGTTCCTCATCATGCACCCATTCATCCTCAACCAGTGAGTTCTTGGGTTTGTGAGCTGGAGTCCGTACAGCTTTTAAAGTGCTTGGAGTCGCAGTCCTCCGTGGGGGGTTGAATGTCTTATTAACACAAGGTGAACCCACTGAGCCCAGATGAGGGAGAGGTGGTGGAGACGGGACACGAGACAGATAGTCCAAAGCTCTCCTTCTTTTCAGGGTTCTTTGGTCCGTTTCTGTTGAAGACGTTGCTGCTGCAGGGTTCCTGTTGACAGGTGTGAAAGATCCAAGGCTTCTGATTGGCTTCTGAAAAGTATCCTACATAAAAGACAGAGTTTAAATTTAACACAAAATGATTAAAACAAATGTATGAAATAGCCCAAGATGCCACAGCATGAACACAAACTCACACTTGTTTTTGTGTTTAGTCTTTTGTCCACTGCAGACGCTGGGGTTTGGGGTTGCAGAGCAGGAGAAGTGATGGAACTCAGGCCATTAGATCTGATTAAAAGTGAAAGCTTCTCCTCAGCAGTTTGAAAGAAGTTCTCATGGCACTGGAACAAAATGACAAAACAGATACTGAAGTCAAGATACAACAACATTTTATTGTATCCAAGCTGAAGAGATGAATAGTAAAAAAATGAGAAAACAGTCCAGGACAGTAAACACATCGAACTATTTGTCTATTACAAGCCTTCCTAGCGGTCTGTGTTTGCAGCTATAACTTGTACTTTATGGAATACTGATTAAAGCAGATGTATTTCCATTCAAGTGTGAAATGAAGAAAAACAAGATGAAGAGTACTTGTGAAAGGTTAAGAGACCACATTCATCACAGTTTCTACATTTCCATTTCTACTGCTGCTCAGCTCAGTAAGTTTGACAAAAAAAATCCTTTAGCATTTCCATTTCATATATATTGCAAATGACTCATTCAGGTAAGATTTAGATTCCCCCAAAACATAAAATGCTGGAGGTGAAACTGTTTTGGAAGCAAATATGCAACTCTGAAGTTCTTGCATTCCAGCACCGTACCTGGAGCAGATTTTTGAGCTGGCTCAGGGATTCCTGAAGATGAGCTTCTTTGGGGTTTGTAGAGAAGACAGTCAGATCTCCTGCATACACAACAGGAGTGGGATGCATGGACTGACCTCTCAGCTGCAGGTTGCTCAGAGCCAAGAGGACATTTGGTTTTACCACATCTTCCAGACCAGACTGAGTCAAACTGTTGAAGCAGCGCACTTTCACAAAGTTAAGGTTCCCATCGGCCAAATAAAATACAGGAGAAGAACCTGTGACCGAAAGAACAAACAATTATTCAGCAACAATAGAGCTATGAAAGAGAGTTTGTTAGAAGTTACCATAAAACATTACGCACCCTGTCCATCTATGATACTGATGATGTATCCTGTGAGATCAACCTCTCCACACAGTGGCTGGAAGTCTGGGTTTTGAAGATTCACAAAATTTGTTGAGACTCTTGGCTGGAAACGTGCTGATAACCACTCCTGGGAAGCCTGAATGATTAAATAAGTCAAATATTAGAAAATCTTTTCCATATCTATGCAATTTTTATACTAAATACAACATCCCAGGTGATGCTAAAGACAGTTTGTTTCCTGTGTTACCTGTAGCTCCTCAAACTGTGTTTTCTTTGTCCCAGTGAGCTGAACAGTTTCAACACTGCTGCGTTTCTTTCCATCTGAAGTGGTGAGGTTATAGACCTTGTATCGACAGCCTTCTTTCAATAATGACTGAAGATCTGATGGGGGCCGCCAAAGACTCAACTGGTAAACTAAAGACAAGAAGAAAAGAAAAAAAAAAAGGATTTGAACTCACAATAGTATGAAAGTTAAATTATAATGTTGAAAAATAAGAAATATGAAAACACACCACTGCCAGGTTGGTCTTTTGAATCAGCAATGCAGAGTCTCCACACAGGTGCAACGTCTCGTTTGGGACAGCTCCCTTCACTGTCCTCGGCTTTTAGAGCACGATGATATCGATCCTGCAGCTCAGCCTGCTTTCTCTCCACCAGGGAACGCCTGTAGTTATGAAGAGTCTCCAACTGTCGTTCACTCAAATGAGCCTAGGATATGGATGTTAAAAAAAAAAAAGTAAAATATTGAAACTACTCAATAGAGAAAGCAAATCCACATTCTGTAAAGCAAACTTCTTGTCACCTCAAGGTAAGCCGGGTCATCTCCCACAGCTTCATACAGTTCCTCTCCATCCTGCAGACTTGCAATATTCTGATGAATCATTGTTTTTCTTCTCCGCTGAGGTTTGATATTCCCTGAAGTTGACAACTTGTTAAAACCTGTACAATTTCAATCTGTACAAAACATGCAGAACATGTGATTTCTACCTTTCTCCTCCTTTTCAAATTCAGCTTGAATCTTGGCAAACAGAATTTCCATAGCTTTCTGTTTGTGGCTGTTGTAGCGTCTCGCCTCCTTCTCTTCTGCACGAACAGAACGGAACACAACACCTCCATCTGGTTTCCTCTCCATCCACTCAAAAGTGAAACACAAATACAGTCAAAAGGGATCAGGAATTGAACTAACAGGATAAACACAGTACATAAATTAAAGACTAAACCTACCTGTATGGGGTAGCTTCTCAGTATGATGACGTCAACACAACCCACGGGGCCTCCGTTGCTATACAAACAGGAGACTGGAAGCAGAAATGGCCGTGGATCCCTATGAAATCCCAGCTTAGCATCCCATCGTGCAGGTCTGCTGCTATTGGCACAAATCTAAACATACAAACAATATATTACACAATTTGCTCCTCGGTTGCTTTGCGAACAGACACAAAAACTCGCCACCTTCCTGTTAATCTACCTTTAACATGAGAGACTCAGGCGCCTCCAGAGGGGAGCAGGCATCTTGTGATCCCACCAGCTGAGCCCCATGGATGATCAACTTGCCACCGACAGCCAGTCGACCTTTGTGAAGCATGGCAGTCAGAGGTTCATCCAGCTGGGCTTTTATGGCATACCAACCATCTGTCAGCCAAACGACTGCAGATGGAGCTTCGACCTTGGCATCAGCACCTTGTGGACTCTTAGTGTCACTGCGACTCAGTCTGTTTAGAAGGTGACCCTTGGAGACAATCTCACAAACGCAGAGAATCATGGTTTTGGCTGCTGTGTCGTCCTTTTCCATGATCTTTCTCAGAGCTGGCCTGCGGCTGTGGTCGACCTCTACATCATATCTGACACACATAAAACAAAATGAATGCTTTAGCAAATAAGCAACCGATTGATTATTTGACTGACGGACAATGATCACCCAGTGTTTTGATAATCAATCAATTCTCACATTCAGAATCATTTTTGAGTTGCCACTTCTTTAAACAGGACTTGCTGGTTTTAGCCTTTTTATGCAATTTAAAATGAAACTGTCTTGAATTATGGACAGTTCTGACTCCCGATGATGTCACCAACAAGCCTTGAAAAGAAATGAGGATTTTCACTATTTTCTGACATTTTAATCTATTAACTGGGAAGAATCTGTGGCTGACTTAATTGAAGAATACATCCCAGATAATCAATTTAACGCAAGTAAAGACAACCGGTCTTCCACTGTGTCCACAAAATTACCCAAAGTGGAATTTAGTAGAAATTCTATATTTTTGTGCGTTTATTTTAATTACATGAAATGTTTAACTCACAAAAAATAGCAGTTGCCAATGTGTTACAAAACAGTTAGTTGAGGTACATATTTACACATATTTTGCAACAGAATGTGTGCTGGGTGAAATGAGCTACAGCTTTACTCGTATGTACCTGTACTTGAGTTGTAGAAGAACCTGTTCTGGGGTGAGACAGAGGCCACCCATTGCTTGAGGGAAAGATTTTTCCATGGAGGCCTGCTTCCAAACAATCCATCTGTAGTGATTGTACACCCACGCCTCACTGATCAGTTTAGGATCCACGCCTGGGGTGTCACACAATGCTCTGTGGACAATTTAAGAGCAGATTATAGTCAGTACAATTAGCTTGCAGTATAGTAATAAAACTAATTACTCCGACGCTCTGATTAGTTCAGCATCACAAAGTCTGATTTAAACACGGTTTAATTCATACCTATAGAATTCTTCTTTTCCTGCAGTTGCGTCTTTGCTGGGGATCAGCCATCCTCCATCAGCAAGCTGAACACCCCCTTCATCTGTAAATGTCTCCTTTTTGATAAATTGCAGCAATTTGAAGCGAAAATGTTCTGCAGTCGCACCACTGATCTCAGAAACATGCTTATGGACTCCACATTCATACAGCTGAAAAACAAGAACATCAAGATGTTAAATGTTTACACAACACAGGCTGCATTTTTAACCAAATAAAAAACTGACTATGACAAAAAATGCACAAACATCCACGGCCTTGCCTGTTTTTGAGTATATCTTGCAGGGGGTTTCCCATTCATTGCAACTGTCAGTGGGATCCTCGGCACCCCTGAGGTTTTTGTGAGAAACAAACTTCCTGGTAGAGGTCGAATGGTCTGACGCTTCTTTTTTCTGATCCTCATATCTTGCATATCCCGGGCCAGCTCAGTGTTCTGAAGATTCTGATATATGTCTGTCAAAAGACAATGAAATCATCATTATTTTAACTATGTTAGACAGAGTATTTGCATTGTTTAAAACTGATTTCATTCAAAGAGATTGCCGTACCTTGGACACTTGAAAATGTGTCATCCACATGTGATGCCTCTGCACCAGAACTGACTGACCCACAGTCATCTGGAAGGCTCTGATTATTCACTATATTATTACTTGTAGTATCTACCAAGGCAGCTACATCTCTGGTGCCTTGTGTTTTTTTACTGGGCGGTACATAAGTGTTAGAAGGCACTGCAAAGATATGATGGTGTTTATCCTCCTCCTCCTCCTCTTGTGGTTTAGAGGAGCTCCCTTGGACCGCAGTTCTTTGTTTTTTGAATGGGGGAACAAACACAGAAGGTGACCTCATGTTGTCCTTGAGCGCAGCATTCTTCCGACTCTCTGTGGGTGTATTTTTGATGAATGGAGGAACAAATGCCGGCATCTTGGAATGTGCTGATCTGCCGTCTCCTGGGGTTGACTGTTGTGTTGGTGTTGTCTTTTGGAATCTTGTTTCTACTAATTGTTTTCCGGTCCTATAGAAAAGAAAAAACACATCACAAAAAGCCGATAATCACTTGCTCGAAAACCTGGACAACAGCTCACAGCCTACTTACCTGTGCGGCCCTGTGACATTTGGATGGAGAGACACGCTGTACTTGAAGACTCTACGATCTCTCATTGTACCTTAATTAAGAAAAAAGAACAAAGATGTAATTTCACACATAGGACATATTTTTTGATAACTTGTCATAGTGCAAGGGATTTACCATTTGGACAACTTTTTACGGGGTGAAGTGTTGAAGCTCTTGGTCCATCAACAGTCCTGTCAAATTCTTCCAGTAATCGTCTTTTCAAGGGAGGCTGACCTAGATTATGTCAAAACAATAAGGCAATTTTTATGCTTAACGAGCTTGTAATGCTAATAAAGGAACAGAGCCAGTGCTTAAAGATAGTATAATAATTAGAATAATCAGGCATTTTAATTATCATGGTTTATGCGCAGTAACAGAAATATTTACTTCATGTATCTAGTAAAGCTAAACTAGTCAAGCAGCAAGTAATAAGATTTTGACCTGTGTTGGAAGAATGGTATCAACACAGTCTGCTTTTCTAATAATTCCGATTCAGACAAGCTGTGTAGCCTTCATAAAAACATATTACACTACATACACTTCTGAGCAATAATGCAGACACATACCAGTCATATCGGAGTCTTCCACTGATCTTTTCTTTCTTCTTTTTTCCTCCTCTGCAGATGTGTTTCTAGGTTGTGGATTATTTTCCAGTGGCACATTTTCTAATGTCATTGAAAGACTTTGGCCAGCGAATCCTTCATCTTCTAGCAAGGCTTTGGTGCAGTCCAGAGCTTCCTGGGCAAGAAACTTTTGCTGAGCTTCTGTGCAGCCCGTGAGGTTGAGTGACTGAAAGTTTATAACCGAAGACTCATCTGCTCTTATGACTTCAGGTCCTTTGCCGGGCATTTCCTGTTCAGGGCTGGCATGTAGATTTTCTGCCGCTGATGGGATGATTGTGTCTTCTTGAAGCTTAAATGCATCTGCAGGTGCTGATTTAGCAACCAAAGAGGCACTTTCTTTAGACAGCATGTCCTTGTCACTGGCTGAGGCGAGATCTGAAATTTGGCTGACATCTTTCATTTTCAATACATCTAACTCATGGCTGTCATGTGGACTTGTTCCGGAGGAGTGTGAATCATGACACTCTCCATCAGAAAATTCTTTCAAAATGTTGTTTGCTTTCAAAAGACTTTCCCCTGACACGTGGACTTTTGCTCCCCCTGCAGTTGTGAAACCACAATGTATTTGTTCTCTATGTTTTTGGGCATCTTTGTGTTTTTCATCAATCTTTCTTGCGTCTGAAACAGCTGTGCTATCTGTATTTAAACTGATGTCATCAAAGAGAGCTTTTGTCTTCTGTACGGCCTCAGAAGAAAGCGCTACAGGTTTTCCACTGGCTGCAAGAAATCCACTATTACTGAATGATGGAGCAGGAACTGGAATCTTTGAGCGTGGTGGTGTTACACTGATCTTATCTTCCATTTTTTCACATTCACTTAAAAGACTTTTGGCTTTCTTGAGAGCTTCAGATGAAATGACAACTCCTTTTCCACTTGCTGTTCGAAATCCTCCATTCTGTGGCGGCACTGCGTCTTCTCTTTTTTTCCCTTGTTTGTTTGTGTGCTCAGTGCATCCATCTTCAGGTTGTTCAGAGACATTTACTTCTAACCTTTGATCAGGTTTAAGTTTTGAAAGGGTTTTCTTCTGGTTGTCACTTCTACTCAAAGGTGCTATACTTCCACATTTTACTGGCGTTGCATTGTTACAGTCCATTTGACAGTCTTTCAATGAGCCATCTGCCTCTTGCATTGCTTTTGTTGAAACGGAATCCGATTCACTTAAAAGATGTTGTGCTTTCAAAAGATTTTTCTGTGACACATGGACTTTTTTTCCTCCTGCAGTTGTGAAGCCACAATGTATTTTCTTGGTATTTTCACCGTTGTCTTGTTTCTTGTCACTGCTCTTTTTGTGTGAAACATCTGGAGTGTCACTGAAGAGAGATTTTGCCCTCTGAAGAGCCTCTGATGAAAGTGTCACTTGCTTACCACCGGCTGTGAGAAACCCATCACTCCTGGGTGGTGGACCATGAACTGGAGATTTGGAATGTGATGGTTTTACATTGAGTTTATCATCCACTTCACCACATTCACTGAACAGGGATTTTGCTTTCTTGAGCGCTGCAGATGAAATGGTAACTCCTTTTCCACTGGCTGTCTGAAATCCACCACTGTATGGCTGCACAGTGTTTCCTTTTTGTTTCCCTTGTTTGTTTTTGTGCTCAGTGCCTCCATGTCCAGGCTGTTCAGGAATGTTCACCGTCAACCTTTGATCTGCTTTAATATTTGAAAGGGTTTTGTTCTCGCTGGCAGATCTACTCAAATTTTTACATGTTCGTGACATTCCACTGCTACCATCCATATCAAAGTCCTTAAAGAAAGCATCTGTCTCTTGCATTGCTTTTGTTGAATCAGATTCTTTCAAAACATGTTTCTCTGACACATCGACTTTTTCTCCCCCTGCAGCTGTGAAACCGCAATGCATCTTCTCTTGTTTCTTGTCACAGTTTGTTGTGTGTGAAACAACTTGGATCTCTGCACTGATGTCACTGAGGAGAGATTTTGCCTTCTGATGGGCCTCTGATGAAAGTGCCACCTTTTTACCACCAGCTGTGAGAAATCCATCACTCCTGGGTGGTGGACCATGAACTGGAGATTTGGAATGTGATGGTTTTACACTGAGTATATCATCCACTTCATCACATTCACTGAACAGGGATTTTGCTTTCTTGAGGGCTGCAGATGAAATGGCAACTCTCTTTCCACTGGCTGTCTGAAATCCACCATTTGTAAGCGGTGAAACCTTAGCTTGAGTGGTAAGCTGTCCTGTGCTCAGGCAGCTTTCTTTTTGATTCGACAGTTTGTTTGTGTCCTCGAGTGTACAGGTTTCTCTCAAAAGACTCTCAGCCTTTTTCAACGCATCGGCTGACACAGATACTTTCTTCCCACTTGCTGTACAGAATCCATCACAACTGCTCAATTCATCGATGGCAGCGGAATCAATATTCTTTGATGTCGTGCACAGTGGGGGAGAAAATGGCTTTGAAGTCGAAAATGGGTTTCCACGGAAAGACACTGCATTTTTTAAAGCTGGTCTGCCGTTAAAACCAGTGCTTTTCATTTTCATACCATCGGCATGTGGTCCCTTTGGGGGATGCAAACCCAGTCCAGCGTTTACATTTTCACAGTTCGTGTCTCCACTGATGTGTTTTTTAGAAATGTTCACTTGAAGAGGGCTTGTATATTTTGAATGGTTTTTCTTTTTGTCAACTCTTTCAGACACAGGTTTTTGGCTTTTCTTGTGTTTTCCCGACATGCCATCATTAGGGTCCATTGCGTCACAATCTTTGAAAAAAGCATCTGCCTGCTGCATATACTTTGCTGAAATAGAGATCCCTTTTCCACTAGCCATGTGGAAGCCACTTTGACACATGGTTGAGTCCAGTTTGCTGTTTTTAAAACTTCTGGCAGCATCTTTACTTGTAGCGCTTGTGATCTGTTTGTCTGCACAGACATCAGATTCCATGCTTGAAAAACAGCCCTGAATTCTCTCCCCAACATGACAGTTATCTTTAAGGGTGAACTTCAAACTTTCCTTGCCAGTATTAGAATCCCCACTGCATTGTTGTTTGGTTTTATCATCAGTTTCACTGTTTTGCTTGTCTAGTGATTTCTCATCTGTCAGGTTCTCCTGTAAATCCGCAAACAAAGCCCTAGCTTTGCTTAGACACGTTTTCGAAACGCTCAAAACATTTCCTCCTGCAGTCTTAAACGCTGCACCGAGCATCAAAGGATTTTTGTTCTCCAGCCTGCTTGTTTCGGTGTGCTCAGCTCTCTGAAGACTTTTTGGTTTAGTTGCCATAACACAGCTACTGCCTTCAGAAATGTGTTCTGAAATAAAAGATACATCTCCAGTAGAGGATTTTTGTCTTGTCACGCTGGACAAAGAAGCGCCTGGGGATTTACTTGTGTTGTTTGATGTTCTACTATTCGTTTTATCGTCTGAAACTGAGGTCATTTTGTCTGGTTTCACAGTTGCCAGGTGCTTTTCAGCATCCGAGCTGAAGCTGTCATCAAAGTCTATACCCGTAAGAAAATCAGGGTCAAGTTCTTTGTCTTTGGCATCATCTTGACAATGCTGCTGTACTTCAGGAATTTTGACCGGTGTGAACTCAAACTGGCTATCTGCCTCTTCCAAGAGAGTACACAGTTCTGTCACATCAGCTTTTTGTGAAGCTGTTAACTGGCAACTCACATCCACAGATGTTTCACTTAAAGAAAGTTGCTGGTTTGAGTTAGAAGTTGCACTTCTTACTGGTCCATTACTTGTGCTAATTTTATGCTTAGTGGCAAGGTCACTTTTGTTGAGCTGACCACTGAAAGTCCTTTCATTCTGACTCTCTTCAAAGAGGTGCTTGGCTTTCTCCAGGTTGGCTAAGGAAATTCGTATACTCCTATTCGAAGCAGTTTTAAATCCTGATGTACTCACCGAAGGAAGAGAAACAGCTGTTTCCTCTGGCAGACTGCCATGAATCTGACCATTCAGTGGAATGCAATTAATGCTATTGACAGCTCCTTTTGCACTGCTTGGTGGTTGTGTTGCATTGCTCGCTATGTGTAAGCCAGACTCTATTCCAGGGTCCAGTATCTGTCTTTCCTTGAGGTGGGACCTCTGTGCATTGGACAGCTCGGTTTCAGCTTCAACACCCGAACGTACTTTTCCATTTGCTTTATCTCTAGATGGAAAAGGAGTAGTCTTGTGGATATCCATAGTCCTTTGGATATCAGTTTTAAAGCCAGACCACTGCTGACTTTGACCAGTGTTCTCTGAGAAAGGAAGAACAAGCGAAGACGCAGTCATATGAGTGACATCTGCAACAGAGGATTGAAACCCACTGTCACTTGCGGTGCCTTCATTGACGGAACAGTTTTGATTAGTGGCAGAAACAGGTCTCCTGCTCCTGACACCATCACAGTTGCGGGGAAAGTCGGCTTGCTTTGCTTTCTGCTTGGCTTGTTTCATGGCTGACAGACAGGCTGACGGAGAGAAGTGATTTCTAGTATCCTCTGTAGCTTTACTCAGTATACCAGAGTCTGGCATTTGGCTGAAGTCTTGTGCAAAATCTCGGTAAAGCTGTGACATGTCAAGATCCTGGACGTTTGCTTGTACAGATGGAGGCAGATTTTCTCCAGCAAGATTCCCCTGTTTTTGCCCAATAGTGCAACAGTCTGTTCCACCTGGGCCTTTTTCCAACTGCTTGACACTCACTTCTTGTCCTAAAAGAAAGCATGATGATAAAAACAAAAACAGTTAGTGTAGAAAACAACTTTTTCCATGTTCACAGAGAATACATGGTCACATTTTTCCACTTTACATGTAAGAGGAGTGTTTTTACCAGGATCTGGAATCCGTGGTGAGGAACCCATTTTCTGAGGTTCAGCATCTTTTCCTTGACTTTGTGTTTTCACAGTCCCAACGGTGTAAACAAACTTTCTGTTTTTCTTAATAAATCCAGAGTCTGTGATGTTTATAGGTGCCCTGAAAGGCTGGCCAGAATCAGAGCCACTCTTCGGTTGTTCTGTTAAAATATTGTTATCCACAGCAGAAGATGAAATTTCAGATAAACTCAATGGGGACCACTGAGTTATTCCTGCATCTCCACTTTTCACAGGTGGGGATAAGGGATGATCAGCTGTTTCCCCTTGACTGGATTCGGCGTTATTTGTTGTAGAGACGTCTGTAGAGCTGCAGCCGTGTTCTATTGCCGGAATGATTTGCTTCCGTTTGGTTTTGTTAGGTTTCACTTTTCTCAGTGCTGAACTACTGTTTGTGAAGAAAATGGAGAGAACATTTTCAGCTCCATCGAGAACACTTGCTACTGTGGTGCGAATTTCTCCATCTTCAATTGCATCCGGAAGCTTCTGTCGCCAAACACTCTCACTCTGGTTCAGTGAAGTCTGGGGGGAGTCATGGGAGCTAGCCTCAGGCGAAACACCACCTATCGATTACAGAGCAACAATAAGTTGTCATATATTATAATACAATAGCATATTACATCATATGATGAATAAGCCCAAAATAAGTAAACCTATTACGAGGCATAGCGTTTTCTTTCATACTCAATATTAAATTGTAACGACAAAGTCATTACCTTGGTCAACAGCAGGCATGTCATTGTTTTTAGGTGGTGCCACCCCAACTGTGGATACATTTGAAAGAGAAGGAAAAAGCTTCCGTACAAACTGGGAAAGGCAAACAAAAACAAAAATTAGTTTTAGAAGTAATGTCAAATGTCACACCTAGTCGCAATTCCTCTTGAGTTTTTATCTGTTCACATTTTTACATAGCACGAATACGTAGTGTCGATATACTCCGTCTTTGAAAATTATTAGTGGCAAAATGGAACAGTAACTAAGGTAAAACAAAGGTTCTTGAGCCACTTACATGAAACCAACAGATAAGATGCTCTACAAATCAGAGAAGTGAAAATAGGCCTGTTTTATATCTATTTAGGATGGAGCACTCACAATGACAGTGTTGTCTGTAGAAACACTAACCGGACAGGAACTCTCATCAGCTTTAGCTGTAACATTGAAAAGATGCAGAAATTATTAACCAAACCACATATTCAGACTTTTAAAACAGCAATATGTGTCATTTGCTTACATAAAATCAGGGTGGATGGCACTGCTGGTGGGGTATTAAAAGAGCTCGTCCATGAAATATCAGGATTGATCTGTGCACCAAGACTTTCAGAAATATGCTTGGCATAGCTGGCCTGTATTAATAAAAAAAATAAATAAAAAAAATAAACAGGAGAAACATGAATGTGTCTCTTACTCCACATTCACATGCTGGCAATGCTGACAGAAAAATATCGTCACTGTCAGACTTAACATACTTACTGGAGATTTGTGTGGGGTATGAAGCAGATCTGTACAGATGGTGGAAGAAGATAAATAAACCAGTCAGCATTAAATCTTGATTTTATGTGCACTTTGTACAAAAAAAAAAAAATACAGATAAATTTACAGCTCACCAAAACTGTCCAGACTCTGAGGCTGGATACCTCCATATTTCACATCCGAGATGCTAAAAAAGACACAGAGATCAAAAACCAGAATTCGTGAATAAATGAATTAATCATCGATTGATTGATTGATTGATTGATTGATTGATTGAATGAATAGGCATTTATAATGACTACAGCTCTCCAATACTGAAAGTCATATGAGACCTTCTTACACAATGACAAATCATGTAAGACTAACACCATTACTACTGGTACAACAATTACGCAGTAACTAATTTGGAATAATTGATAAACTGTTGCTTGTTGCACTCACCCTTGTTCTGACATCCGAAATAAACATGGACTTTGTGTTGTTGTCCATGGCAATGCTCCTTTTTCTACGCAACACCACACAGAAACATTATTTTATTTAGATTTGAGGAACCTCATCAATGCAGACAGAAGTAGGTTACCACAGTTTATAACAATGCCTTTAAAACAGACACTTATACCCTTATTCATCATATTGTATGTATTTTGTGAGAGATATTGAATACATTTTGCTGCATAAACAAAGGAAAAAAACATTACCTTGTTCAGTAGTGAACGACTGCTCATCCTCAGTTTCAGGTGACAAAGATGGCCTGTGTCTGAAAACTTTGGGGGTTGAGAACAGCTGACTGTCGACTTCAGGTTTGCGTAAAGGTGTTTTAAAATTTCCCTCTTGATTAGCACACAGCTCATCTTGATCAGAGACATTTTCCTCGTTAGCAGACGTTTGAGCTGTCAGTACATCGAACCAGTTTGGGTCCAGTGGTTCCAGTTCTAAAATTATAAATCATAAATGGGTTCCAGATCACACACATAACAGGTTTTGTCTTCTGTTATTGCACAAACAATTGATCTTTTAGTGATCATGTAACTAGAATCAAATGAGCAGACATAAAAACATGAGCATATGTACAATGTATTTTGCAGTTTAGACAGTTCAGTGATCATCGTTATGAAGAGACTTGTTTGTTGTCGATGCCGTGCCAAACAGTGATCATCTGCCAAAAACTGATTGTCGTATTGCCCAGTTTATATTCATCAACAGCTGCTTAACAGTCATAACGTGCAAATACTCGCTATTTTATGTCTGTGGAAAGAAAAAAGTATGTCTTTGTGAAACTCTAACTTTCCAATACTTCATTATTTATATTTGTAACATAATCTGGTGTGACAGTAGGAGGATTATGGGCAATACTATCATACTGTTGGTACTGTACAGGCTATATGTGGTTGATATGTGTAATGTGTGCAATATCCGTGTTCAGATTATAACTAACAATATTTGCAGATGGGTTCTATTTATTTAAAAAAAAAAAAATATCCTATGGGCAATAATTATTAAAAACATAACCCTTAACAATAAAGCCAAGTTATTTTGATGCATTAAATTACATGTCATCTACAATGTAGGGGGTGTAATCACTTTTTGGAAAGTGAAAAACTGCATTTTATGAGTTAGATTGGTCTTTTAAAGCTCTTAAACCTATATAAAGAACTGGATTGGGGCACAGAGAAGGTAAAATAATAGATAACTGCTTTGGCAGAATCTGTTTTTCACCCCTTTTCTAGCACAACACCGACAACTGTGACATATTGGCTGATGATCAAAGTCAACTTGCAGGTTCACGTTACGGTCATCTTACCTTTCCAGATTTCATCTTTAAAAGCGTCGTACATGTTTTTTGAGGGTGAATCCATCCCATGTACTTCTGTAACGCCTACTGTTTGTTATGTGGCACACCTACAAAGACACAGGTTTGACCGTGACTTGAAATAAAAAAGCAGAAACTGTCAAAGCTAGTTAGCTTCACGCTGCGTGAGCAGGCTGCTGTTTCTGCTGCTTCCGACCTCACTAACATGAAATTAGCCGCTAATTAGCTTCACTAACTAACAGCTAACTTGATAGCAACACTGTTTAGAACAAATAGCTGAGTAGCTAATGCTAGTTTTGCAGTCGTAAAAATGTTAGAACAGGTTGACAAATGTTGGGAACACGCCGTTAACTTACACTGACTGCTAATGCTCGTCGAAAAGAAACGACAAAATTAGCTTTGAAGTTACTCAAACTTACCATGACGACGTTCAGCAGTGTGGACGTTCATGTCGCCTTAAAACTTTGACAAAAATGTTGAAGCCAAACCGCAAAACTATAAGATACGATAGAAGAGAAGTGTTTTAGTCACTACGTATTGTCTCGTACATTCAGACCTGTGCAGTCAGCCTCGTAGCTTATTTGTCCACGCGATGAAAACAAACCCCGCGCGCTGCACACCAGAACTCGCAGCGCCTTCAAAATAAGAGTGGAGGCGTGTTTGCAGTTGATTACAACAATAAAAGCCCATCTCATTACCGCTTCATCAGTCTGTTAAAGTGACGACATTTTGTCATTCAGACATAAGTCACTGTCCGATTAATGTCCCAGTAATGCACGAACAACTAAAGATTAAATCTAAACTAATCGCAAACTTATCAAACTTCACCTCATAACTGAAAATTCTGCCCATGTGTGATTATAATCTAACATTTATAACCCAACAGCTGGAATGGAGCTCAGGACTCAACCTGAGCACGACCAACAAATGATTTAACTGCAGCTTATAAACTGCAGCTCGGTGTTACATCCTGACCCAGACTGATCCTGTCTTCATGTCAAAGATAATTTAATTTACTCAGAAACAGCTGGAAGCAAAAAACATCAGCGTCTTGTGTGTCTGTTTTTATCCCAATTAAGTTTTACTGTTACAGACATTGAAGTTAGTAGATAAATACATTTAAAATTGTAGATCACAGTGAATGACAAAGATGTGTTTTGATTTAGATTTTGTGTTTTTGAACCAATATTGGTGCAGAAATGTGGAAAAAGGCTTCCCTAAATCACTTGACACAGCTCAAAGTACCATTACCAGTGCATGCCTGTTTGGCAATGTGATGTCCCAATAGGTTGCCAATGCAACTTCTACAGAAAAGTGACCGGGGTGCTCATTCAGACATGAAGCTGGTTGTTGTCAGAATAATGGAAAGCAGTGCATGTCTGAAAGGGGCTGAAAAGGAACATACATAAATACAAGATGACTCTTGACAATTTCCCTGAGGTACCCTACCAAAGGGATCAATAAAGTTCTATCTGAATCTGAATCTATAATAATGGGTGGCCATTATGCTCTAATGCCAAATCAATAATCTGAATATTCTTGAAACCTTTGGGTAGATTCGTTCCCCTTCTGGCTTTATAGAGACGCTGCCCCTGTCATAAAGAGTGATGGAGGCAGAGAAACCTGCCATTAGGTCCCCCTTCCAGGGGCACTACATGCTGCAAACGCACAAATACAGAATTTAAAAAAAAAAAATTAACACATTTTTTTGTTGTGTTGTTATTGCACAAATTACAAAAAAAGAGACCATTGTTAACAAATGTAAGTTTTATTGTATTGTTACATAAGTGTACAGAACACCAAAGTACAGTACATTGCAAAGGCAGTAGTATTTACAAGGCGAGAGGCTACGACAACTCTTGTGGAAGCTTTACAAATATGTAGCTACTCAGGCTGCATGCAACTCAAACTGTAACTCCATAAAAATACAATCTTATGAGTCTCAGCAAAGCCCCCATTTCACTATGTACAATTATTTAGTTAAAATAGTTTCTGTATTTGTTCATAAACATTACTATTACACTTTATAGTACATAGAATTTGCAAGCTTGGCAGGTTTAATGGGTGAAACAAAATATTTGTTTTCTATAAATCTAGTCTGATAAAAGCTTGTTTTTCTCTTGCTTATAATATAAATAATTTACCTACTTGCTAAAAGCTGCACAGTTATTAAAAGGTACAGTAAAGATGTTTTAAGTAACAGACAACCCACACAGCAGCATGTAGGTTTGGGAGACATTACAGTAGATTTGCAGCATGTCAGAGTAGTTTAACATGAACCTCTTACATAAATCAGTATCAATAGTTCCATCTAAGATGGTCGTCGGATTTAAATTCACACCCTCAAGCACACTCACAACACACCTACACCTACACCCACACGCAAACACACAAAAGACCCACTACTTTCGCCAAGTAATGAAGCCTCCCTTTTTCTGTACTAACAGTGTTCATGTTTTCCAATGCTTTGATATTCAAATACATTCTTTCAGGAGACAAAGGTCTTCCACTTCAGTGAAGGATTGCACATTTTCCCTTGACAATTAAAACAACATAACAGAAAGAGCATCACTTAGCTTTGGTATGTTAAATGTGAAAGTTGTTGACCTCAGTAGCAAGTGGTCGCCTTGTGACAGTTTCTATTATTAGTGCAATAAGAGTCTAACTTTGTTTACAACGGCAAAGTCAATCATCTGTGTAGAAACAACAGTATTGCTGCACGGTTGAAGATCGGATTTGATGACATTCTGATATATATTCGGACGAGAAGAAGAGACGTGGGTTTGGTTAATCCCAGGTGAGAGTATAGTTCTTGTTAACCACTGAGATGATAGCAGCTACCCCAGACACAAAGAGAGGTTAGGCATGACGCAGGGCGCTGGGGAGTTATGGGCGTCACACGCTGCCAGACGCCCATCAGAGAGTCGAGCCTGAAACCCTGGAGTCTGGGAGAAAAGCTGTGATGGCTCGGTAGCCCTGGGCTCGTCGGATCATGTCCCGAGTCTCTCCGTTAAGTTCCATCAACTTGACAGAAATGTCTGTCAGGTCCTGCTTCGAGCCCACCAGAGCAAAAGTTCCTGTCTGACCCAAAGTTTGATGTCTGAAGTAGATGTTTAGTAATGTTTGGACCTCATCCTCAGAGTGGCTGCCGAAGATGTCGTTGGGCCACATTGTTCTGCAAAGAACAGACATTCATTGACTGAGGGTGACATTTCACAGCATACACTACCGAACAAGGAGTCGACTATATTGCTTTTCTCACCTGCACTCACGAATGTAGCGAATGGCTGTCGCAAACTCACTGTTCTTCAGAACCTCCAGGATGGCCTGAACTGCAGCCTCAGAGGAGCTGAAGATGGGCTCAGAGCAGGAACTCTCACGGGCTGCCAGCTCATCGTTTGTCACTGAGGCTGCTGCTATCTTCAGGTTGCTCTTCAACTCATTCAGCTCTCCAGACATATTTGTAAGCTAAAGGTTGAGAGGGATGAATATTATTAAAACAGAGACATGGATTAGATGATGCGTGTCGTGGCTTCAAAAAGAACATGATAGACCTACCTCGGGAATAGAGCTTATTGCATGGACCTGCTCGATCAGCTTACAGTAGGACTGAAAAAGCAGCAATAACTGAAAGTGGAGTTTGTAGAGTCTTTGACAGAGTTCCAGTTGCTGGAATTAAAAGAAAATTAGTTATTAGCACAGGGACTTTAAATTGGCACAGTTTCTCTTACTTATGGATATTTTCAGATTAATTCTTCAGTAATAAACTCAAATATTATTAAAGATTTCAAAACAACCAGTTTGCTGAAAATGGCTTTACAATAAATACAATTAGGACACAAGCCTGATTTAACTTACAGCCAGAGATTCCATTTGCTACCATGCAAGCATGTTACAAGGCAGAAAAGAAGTAAGAAGTAAGAAAAAGAGAGCGATCAAGGGCATGCAAACACTTATTATTTCCATTTAAAAAGAGGGTGAAAAACATTAGAACAGGTCATTTTATTGGCATGCACAAAGGAAGAAAAGTAAGGGTTGACGCATGTGTGAATTAGAAATAAATAGAGTGCTGATAGTTGTCATGAATTAATCAAAAAGACAAGTGAAACAAGCCAAGCAAATTAAAATTCTGCCTGTTAATCAGCACAAATGCACTCACTTTGGTGGGAATGTCTGAGCTCATCGAGAAAATTTTACCAGCAGAACTTTCTGTTTTGCTGTTAACTTCCCTCAGTTATAGAGTGAGTGTAATTGTTTACAGCTAGATTAAATGCAACATAAGAGAACTTGCTCCCATGCTCAGCAGAGCTGAAAATGATCACAATGCACATTGGATATGAAATATTCAATGTGACAAACGGAAACTCAAGGTCATTGGAAACTTGACATTTATAGTATAGTGTGAGAAAATTAGAGGTAACACTCACAGAGCTACAGTATCACACAGTAATGCAGAAAGTCCAGTATGAAAGATCAGATGAAATGGAATCCTTAGTATTCTCAGTCAGTTTTGTAAAATGTTCAGCATCAGAAGCTATTTCCTCATTTGCACTGGCTGAATGCATTCGCTAAGTCAAAGGAAATGTTAACCCACTGTTTTACTCAATCCTTCAGTTGATATGATGGTTTGTCAGTTACTGCTCAAATTCCTGACAAACTCACCTTTTCCTCATGCTCCACTGGTTGACATGTTATCACAGCACCTCCAGCGTTCTTGGGAAATGTGTCCTTACAGTTGCTCAGCCACTGTGTGTAACAAAGACAACTCAGTGGCAACGTACATACAGGTGACATCCAGACTAGTAAGCACAATATTAAATCTCCTTACAGTGAGAGCTGCTTCCTTTCTGTTGTTGTAGGTGTCAAGATATTCTTGAAGTTCCAACACACTGAATTTCATTTTTTCCAGAAGTCCGTAAGACATAATCTGCAAAAAATCCAGTTTTGTTATTGAATTTGTTCAATTTGTTCTGTTATACTGTTAGATTAACTGTCAGGTTACTTACTGTGTCTGCATCAATGAACAGCGTCGGGCACTCTGAGCATGATGTCAGCATCTGAGAAGACCTCAGGAACTTAGACCCTAATCCTCTCAAGCCATCGCCGAGGTAACTCACAGCATCGCAGGTCAAAGAACAAAATTTGGTCTGAATACTCTGCAAACCAAAGAAAACACGCTGGCTGTAATACTGTCAAAATCACTCCTACATCATTTATATTCTTTATCATTTCTACTTTTTTTTCTGAAAGTCTCTGCTGTCGGCTTTGGTCAGTGAAGTGAACAACATCTGGTTAATGAATCTCAGACGATTTTCAAACCGCAAAGCCTCTACAGTGTCCTCGATTTGTAATTAAGCAGACCTTTTCTGAAAGGGAGGCTCTTTCTCTCAAAGGTTAATCAGCCACATAACTAATCCTATTACCCTCTCCGTTTAATTATTCAGTTTGACCAGGATCACTGTTAATAGAATTTGAGAGTAGGATTTCTACGCAGTCGTGCTATAATACCTGAAACAGTGATGAAAACACATGGAAAGTGTAGACTGCACAGGATCCATCTGAGTCGGACACAAGCTGGTTGATGTGACTCCGCCAGGCTTCCTCTGCATCGTCGCACACTGCTGGCTGGAAAGCGGCGAGGATGGCGGAGAAGAAGGGCGACGGTGGCGGTGAGGAACGCGACTCCAGCAGGTCGTCTCTCTCTTCCTCAGCCAGACTGAAGAGACATAAAGCCACGTTATGAACATTTTTGCTGCATTTATGGTAAGCCCCTTCCAGGCATGCACTCCTTTTTATTGATCTGATGGCATCTAAGCGTGTCTAAAAGGGCACACTGGTCACTGATTATTAAAAGTTGCAATGGTAGTCTAACTAAGTTGGGGCCTAATAACATTTGCAAATCACTTTCAGCACAGCACAAGCCTAACCTGCATGAACAGGGGGGCATGCAAAACATTACAACATGCTGACGTACGACGTCCAATCTCATGTTGTATGCTTATCATAGCTCTCACAACATAAAGTGACCTGTGACTGAATGCTGTCATTTTACCAGACTGACAAAGCCAGAAATGTGAGGCATCCCATTTTAATGAAAAGTGCTACACAGTAGGTACCTGGGTAAGCAGCAGTCAAGGTCCAGCTCTCCTTTGAAATCACAGTGAACCATATCCATAGTCAAACTGTCACCACAGTGATATTCAGAGGGCGGTTCACTGATGCAGAGAGAGACGTCGTCTTCGTGGACGTTGACGTCTTCGTCTTCCTGAGACATCTCATGCTGAAAGAAATCAAGAGGGACAGCAATTAGTGAAATGAACTCGAGTCACAAACAAATACTGAAGCTGCATGCATGGAATGTGTTCCCTCTTTTATTCTTAATTACTAAACTGAGAATTATTGTGGTTAAAATGGATACACTAACCTTGCACGGGACCCTATGGACAATCCTTGAGGTGTTTTTGTTTATTTGTTTATTTTAGTGTGCATATATTTTGCCAATTAGATAGATTATAAAATCCTTTAACTCGGCCAGCATCGCGGCCCTGCACACTAGCGGTTTGGGACAGGCAATGTGTAAACCTTTCTTGACTTTCCACATGCCAAGAGTTTTTAGTTGATGCTTAGAGCCACCCACACAGAAGCAATAGGTATACACATTGCCTTAAACAGACAGACACAGAAAGAAAGAATCTTGTTTTTTTTTTCTAGTGCTGGCTACAACCCCGTCACATCCCTGCCACAATCTCTGCCGCAATTAAAAAAGACTAACCCAGAGCCCAGAGTTATTGATTTTTCCGCTTGCAGGTTTTAGTTCATTCTCCTTTTGCATGCACCTAATATCAAGAAAAGACCCGCTCATGCTCTATTCTGAAGAGAGGAAATGTAGGAAAGTCACAGCGCCACAAAATAATAATAAACATAGACTAGACCCAAAGCAACATCAAAGACATTTCACAAGAAAACATGCAACAGAATAGCTCCTATTTAGCAAAATTAGTAAAGAACTCGAGTATGGAATTGCGATAGGAATTAGTAGTTCCCAGAATCTCAGACACTCTGAAGCCCTTATTCACCCGCTGCTTCGAGTCCTCTGGCAGCTGGACCTCGAAACTAGGATTTTTGGTGTTCAGAGGAGTTGACTCTGCTGAAGTTGAATCAAAAAAGGCAGAGGGAGAGTCCATGCTACTGCTCTCTGCTGTTGGAGAGAGGTTGACAATCTGAAAAGAGACAAGGACAAACTATTGGAATCTTTAAAAAATACAGTTTATATATCATATAGAACCGCAAAATCCTTAACACTCCTGCAAGCACGGACAGTGGAAGAGTGGCTAACAGATACGCGACAAGACATGAGTGGGGTGACAGCTGCGTGAACACATGGGCTTTCCATCTGTCACATTAGTTGCCACAAACTTTTGCGAGTACTGTATGAAGACTACTTTCTGTCGTGGAATAACAGAAAGAAGATGCAACAAGACCGAGGAAAAGGCCTCGCTACAGTTCACGGACACTTCACGTATACAGACATTTTTGCTTTTTTCAGAGCTATTTGCTCCTGAGTCAGCCACAAAAGGAAAAGCCATTCCAGTGATTACAATCAAAAGGCTTTATCCTCTTGGAAGCATGAGTGTGCTTTGCAAATTGCACTGTAATCGGTAATTAGATAATGACATTTTTTTAATGTGGAAAGAGGACAATAACTGAACAGTGGCACAAAAACATAGCTCCTAAAGGGTGCAACATGAAAATAGTTCGTCTTTAAAATATGTTTTTCATATTCCTTTTTAGAATTATGGGTTGCAACAGCTTGGTTTTGCCCTGCAAGCAGAGAAACTTACAAGCTGTGAGTGGGAGAGTATCTGGCTGGCGGTGAGGGAATCCTCCTCAGATGACTCGTCGGAGTCTTCTCGGGCGATCTTGCTGAGGCTCGGCATGCTGCTGGACAGCTGACTCTCCTCCAGGGGCTGCAGGTCACTTCGGTCCAGACTATCCATGGAGCGCCTCCGCACACCCCAGTTGAAGTTGTCCATGGTCTCTCCCTGCAACAGTGAAGAGCCTTGAGTTACCAAGTACCAAGACGTATGCTACAGGACAAACACATGCACACGCACACACTGCATTTATACACTCACAAACATGCAGTGAAGCTTCAGAGAGGGGACAGTTTCTGGGAAAATTTTCACACCCTGATATACACTACACAAGCTACTACCAAAATATCCACAGTGCTGGTGAGAGTGACAGAAAACCCCCTGATATTGCCAAATATTTACAGATTTGAAATGGTTTCTTGCATGAAAAGTGGAGCGACTTTCAAGTTGACGTGACTTTGGAAAAAATCATCAGAATAAACAAGGGAGACTTCCTTTTGTGATTAGCTTAAAAGTTTAAATATAAAGTTCACATGAGGTCAGGAATCTTTTCTCACACCTTGTTTAACTCATCTGCACTTTCTTTGACCATTGCAGCTGTTTTTGTTGTGGAATTTTAGGAGGTTCAAGGAGAACAGCTGATACTGAAAACATTGTGATGTGGTTTAAAAACTACTGAAAGTAAAGATCAAGATACCAATAACTACAGTAATGCAGCATGAGTGAAGTTAAATTCAGCCACAATGTGTAAATCATCAGCATCTTCAGTCCCTGTACTTTGACAGAATCGACATAAGCGAAGTTTGACAATTTGATGCTTTTTTACTGAAGGTAAATCAACAAAAATATAACATTTTGTTACTTTTCACTGCATAAATTTAGTAAATAGCAGAAGGTAAAGGTGTACAGTAGAATGAATGTGTGTTAGGATTGATGACAATGAGAACCGTTAGAATTGAACAGAATTTCTTGAACTGTGTTGTACTTCTGTGTCTCTAGATGGGGCTAACACACCATGAATAGTAGAATTGGGACACAGACTTCTTTTTTTCTTCCTCTTTTTTAAAAAAATAAAAAATTATTGCATTATCTAAAGCATAATGCTTTCACTTGAGAAAAAAATGTATGTCCCGTTTTTCTGTGATAACAAGATCATTAACTCTTTCTGAAAGAAAGATTTCATGGAAGAAAAAAATCAGTTTTTCTGGATGAACCATCACTCTTGAAGTGCCTGCACAAAGTGGATAAACTCTTAAATTAATGAGAGCCTCCCCTGGCATGTTAAGGTATCTGGTTAACTAAAGAAAGACCAAGAGGACATTTCCATTAAGATTTTCTCAGAATACTGAGATAAAAGTTTTGTTAATTCAGAAAACCAGGGCAAACATATAATGGATGAAATAACTGATGTTCAATTTGTATTAGGAATATCTACACCCAGACTACAGGGATTGTAACATGCAACTATGGTGGACATATCGGTGAACATCAAACTGCTCATTTTCTGGGTTAAAGGCTGCACACAGGCATAGAGACTATTAATATATGCATTAATCGTGTGTCAAATGGGAAAACATCATGAAGAATACTTTAAAAAATGATCAATCAATCAATCAATTAATCAACTGAAGTTACAGCAGCTAAAAGTAAATAATCATCTTTAAAAAATGTTTATGTTGACATCTATTTCACTGCTGACTCTAAGTCCTCTGCGTGTCAATTAGAAAATAACATACTGTGTTTCTGATGTATGAGTGGACATTTCTCTCTCTCTACTGTGTGAATGTTGAAGTATCAGTCTTGTCATTTCACAGCATGCACACACGTTTGCTACTCTTTGCCATCAGTGTGGCAGCTCACTAAATTATCTGCACAAGCAAACACTCATTTAGAAAACACAGCAAATCAAAATATAACATGACTAAACTTACCTGTAGCTCCTAGATAGCACAAACAGAAAAAAAAAAAAACAGAAAAAGAAACCCCATTACAGAGAGCAGGCAGATCTGACCCAGCACAGTACAAGAAGAGTGTCTTCAGAGGAAAATAGTCTGCTCTTCACGCTACGGACAGTTTTTCTTACTGCTTTTGCTTTACAAGTTCGACTACGTTGTTGTACATCAAATATAAGAGGAGGTGAGAGGAATAATTAATTTTCTTTGTCGCAATTTTCTTTGGTCAGACTCACCTCTCCATCCTCTAGCTCAACATCCAGGAAGTCAAAGTCTCTGAAGACTCTGAACTGCTGCTCTGAGGCGGTGTCGTCCATGTTGTCTGCTTCCCGGGTCCCATCGTCGGAGGACACCAGGCTGGGCTGGTGCTCCATGAGGTCCAGCTCCCCACAGCTGGAGAATATCACCTATTCAGGGATTTAAAAAAAAAAAGGTTAAAGGCTGTTTTTGAAAACACAATGGAAAGAAAAATAGATGTCGAGGGTGCTGAAGTGCATTGCTCTGCTAAAATGAAATGCATCTTACCGAAGGATTTTTTGTGAGCCCCACTTCTTGCCCACACAAAGACAATACATTCACCAGTTTTTCCCGTGTTCTTTTCTGCAGACAAAATGGAAATATTTTGAATATTCACTGTCATTTGAACCAAATTTTACTTTTACGCCTTATATACAATTGGTATTATGTAGCTGAATACATTATTTGAATACACATTGGTACAAATTACAGTATGTTTTGCACATGGCACCAACATGCATCTGTCATCATCTACATACAGACTTATTTTATGTCAGGTCTAAGTGGATTCCTAATGTACTAAACAAGGATTAAACACTTGGCATTAGTAAATACATTTGATGTGAAATCGCAACATTTTGACCCTTCAAAACTTAATTCTTAGAGAAAATTAGAAGAAGTTTTAACCTGTGAAGACTGAGGCCTCTTCCAGCTGACCGGCACCAGGACGTTGTTGGAAGTGGATCCAGACGAGGTCGAGGAGGTGCTGCGGGTCACTGCTGTGGTCCTGCTCTTCACATCTTGGCCCGGAGAGCGCTGCAGATCATCGTAGCGCCGACCGATCACCGGTGTCTACAGGCGTGGACACAAACAAGCAAACACGTGCAGACAGAAACCGCGATGAGTCAAGAAAACTATCAGGATGAGAAAGTCCTTCTCTGCTTAGCCAATCCATGAGTACGGCGTCATTGCAGCTCCCGCTTCGTCTAGACTTTAACTGATTCACAGTGACTGTAAAGTGATCGATGCTTTAAGATACTTTGGAATAAAAACTGTGACCACTGAGAAAAAAAATCTTTGCCAGTCAGCATTCGGAATGCATGTAGCATCTGAAGAAAAAAAACGCTTTCATTTCCTCTGCTTTGTCCTTCAGTCTAAAAATATCCGGGTATTTCAAGAAATATCAGCGGTTTGTCCAGTGACTCTCAAGTTTAAAGACACACGCTGCTGCACAGCCACTGGAGCTCATAGATTCACATACAAAGGGCGGTAGCAAAGAGTTGACATCATTTCTTGCCATTCATGAACTACACAAATAGCTCCCTGTTCAGTTCCCACACATACAGCACTCCGCCTGTATCTTTCACATCACTTTCCAGCTTTACTCTGCTTGACTAATTGTGTTTACCTTTCGGGCTTTCAAGCTAATCTCAAGAGGTTCCGTCAAAAAAAAAATATATCACCATTAAGGAAGGGGAAGAAATGTTTCCCTTCCAAAGAGCTTTAAAAGATTCCACACAACCTCAACAAGCACCACACCCTGGAAACAACAGGAAAAAATACAGGGGCAAACATGCAGGCTTTCTGCAGACTACACAGACGCTCAAAACAAGAAGTTTAACACGATAAAGAAAAAGCTAGAGAAAGGGTCTCTAACCTCAGATATGTCAAAGTGGAAATCCAGCGTTTTCCCAGGCAGGGCCTTGGAGGAGCGATCCCAGACACGACTGATGTCCTCATAGGAGAGGTCACTCTGTGGGAAGGAAGGCTGCACCAGACTGGCGGATCGAGAAACCACCAGCTTCAGGATGTTCAGCGCTTCCCTCCAATGGGCAGTCTATAGTGAACAGACACACAGAAATTCACCTGTACACGCAGACAGCAACCGACATAACCGCATGTTTGAAAAAAAAAAAAAAACAACCACAAATGTCTTTTTGTGTGTGTTTTTTTATGGAGTTCTATTTTTGGAGCCAGAGGTGCGAAAGGAAAATGGAATGAGAAGAGGCAGAGGCCCGGCCTGTGGCACAGAGTCAGACTGTTTATAGTCTGGGTGTGTCTACAAATTTACTGCGCTGACACAAGGCAGCTTTTTCCCCCCTTTTTTTTTCTCATGAGCACTTACAAAAGGAAAAGGGAACACAGGAGACTCCTACCCACACCCCACTAGCTAAAGATTTCCACTGATCACATCTGATCTAAGTTATACAATTCTTTTCACATTCCGCACACATGTGTGTAACTCAGTGAGTTACCACAGAAGCATCGCACAAATTTCAAGTAAAAATCAGTACTGGGAAATGCATCTGTTTGCTGCACATTCAAAATAATGATCTGTAACTCACCTGGACAAATTTCTCTATTGTCTTGAGCACCTCCATGTTGAAGGGTTTGGCTTGAATTCCACTCAGGTCCATGTGACTCAGAAGGCTGTAGATGATTTGTAAAAGGGTCTGCTGCATGCTGGGGAGACCCTTCTCTAAAAGCTGCAACAACAATTAAACAACAATTAATTTCTATAGCGCCTCCAACACACCATGACCGTGGCTGCGCAAATCAAACCCGATCAGCTGCACAAACCTCTGCCATGTAAGTGACCAGGTTCAGGGTGATGTCCGAGAAAGCTTCATGAAGATATCGACACACCACATTGACCCAAGAGAAGCAGTCTCGCGTGTAGGAGTGTGTTTTATACAGAGTCATGACATGAGCGAGGTTGGAGAGCTTGGCGTTCTTCTCCTCGAGGCATACCTACACAAAAAAGAAAAAGTCCATTAGTTCCAGATATATAATTATAAAAACTGATAATAGAAGCATTAACAGAGGCAAACCTGGGCTATCCTCTCAGCAACGTCTTGACAGAACTGTGAAGGGCCGTCGAAGTTCTGCACCAGATGCGGAAGCAGGCAGAGAACATTCAAAGGAAAACCTAACAGATAAAACAGACAAATCTCTTCAATATTCCTCACGAATTCTTTTTGAAAAAAAGTTACATGGTCATTGGTACAAATGGGACTAAATGTTTTCAGATACAAGGCTGGTTAACTACAAAATGTTTACTTTTTACAAATCCATATCTACTGATTCCTACATCATACCTATGGCTTGTGATGTGTCCACTACAGGCACTCGTGACACAGGTGTGAGTTGGCAGAAGAGCTGCAGCGTGAGGTCAGTGGTGGACACTGAGGTGAAGCCCTTTAACAGCAGCTGCTGCAGCCCAGTGAAGCTGCTCCACTGCAGCTGGCTCTGCAGTTTCTCCAGCTTCTCTCTGTTTTCCTGCTTGTCCAGCGACATGTTGGCCAGCAGCTTATTCAACAGCCTTAAGGACATTTGATACTCAAACTCAAAGTCTGACTCCATGAGCGACACTGCCACCCAGAAGATGGTGGCCAGCAGGTTGGTGGGATGGTTGATGCTTGTTGGATCGGTGACATTGTCCTGAGATGAGGACGAGCTGCGGATCTTTGCTAACAACACCTGCTGCTCGCAGGCTTGGATACGATCCAGTGTGGCGCTGCGAGGCGGATCAGACCACCTGTCTGCCTCACCGAACTTCTTAGGAACCGAAGAGCTCCTCTGATGTCTGCTCCTCTCTTCCCTTCTCAGATTGAGCTGCCCGGTGCTCTTCCTGTTGGACAGCAGCTTGAAACTGGTGAGGAAATCTGGAGATGAGGCTCTGTAATTTAACACAGAAATAAAGTTTTGACATGTTTCAACAAAAATCTAAACATCTTCAAACATAAATACATGTAGAAGAGACACAAACCTTGTCAGGATAGCCATGAGATCATTGTTCTTGAGACATTCAGCCAAGTTATCGACCACAGATTCCAGAGTGAGTAATACTTCCATCACATAGCCCTGCAAGAAAAACACACAACTGCATTTCTGGAGCAATTTCTGGTATAGTTGTATCAGTAATTTAAAAATTAAAAAAAAAAAAAAACTTTTAAAATGTTTTAATTAAAAATGGGTTCTCAAGTTCCATTTGTCCAGAAAACTAGCAGATGTCATAAAGTTAGAAGGAGGGTATGTAAATTGAACCTGAGCATTTTTGCCTGTTTGGATACCACATTGCACCTCCCTACAGCTAACAACAGTACTTGATGCTCACAGCTAAGAGCCTCATGTTAATAAACTGGAAACCCTTTCACTCATACGGGTTCATCAAGAGTCCTAAAAAGTCTTTGAGTCTGTTTCTTGCCCACCTGGACAATCTGACAGTTGGAAACAGGGCCTGAACTTGTGAATTCTTCAGGAACCCTGTGTAGTACTGACTGCATGCATTATTGAATTTCCCTTCTGGGATCAATAAAGTATTTTTCATTTCATTTCATTTCATGCTGTAAACTCTCTTGCTGACAGACATTTAACAGAGCTAAAGATGCAAAGAAGAAATTCCTACATGGTTTATGCCTGAACTGAACTCATAGCTACATTGCAAATACTCTGACGCATCACATACACGCACGGACCACTGACCTGCACTTCTTCTCCATGCTCACCAACGACTTCCACCAGCCTGGACAGCAGGTCGGACACAGCGTGGGCTGAGATGGGCTGCCGAAGGGCTCGAAACACCTGGAAGGAGCGACCGGCGTAGTGACGGGATGAACTGCACAAGGCTGTCTGCAGCGCTACGTCACTGAGCTGCTGCTCCAGGTGGAAATCTAGCAAGAACAGAGTATGCAGAGTGTTATTTTGTGTCATAGACAGAGTTCTGTGGTTTAATTAATTAATAAATTACTGTCAGGAATATACTTAAGGATTACCTGACTTGGAATCTTTGAACACAGACACAACATGTCGCAGGAAGTTCGTCAGCTGCCCGGTGCTTTTTGAAATCTGGTTCTTTGGTGAAATGTCTTCATGGCACCACAGCGGTCCATATGCTCTATAAAACAACCATTGCTTGGTCACTAACAACACCCAGCATATTGTCTTTTTTAAGGGGACACTATGGTAGAAGAGAGACAATTAACTCTTCATTCGAAACAACCTGTACCAAGCTCAACTTTAGGTTTTATTTAGGCAATAAAGTATTATCAGCAGCAAAATCTATTTAAAAGACATAAAATCCTTAATTTCCTTTGGAGTTTGCAAGATGGTGGCTTTAATTAGAAATTATAATCTGCACAAATGATATCAAACTTCTCCTATAAGGATCTACTGCACTATGCATGCAGCACCACTAGGTGGGAACCTTCGTCAAGAAATGTGAAAAAGCATATCAGCATACCAGAATCCTATATTTGGCTGGTATCCATGACATGTTTTTGCTGTATGACATGCATTTAAAGTACAAAATAGTATAGCAATCTGTACCTTGTGGTTAAAAACTCAATGAGCTTGTTCGTCTTTTCATCCATTTTACTGGAGGCCACCAGCTCCTCCATGTCCTGGGAAATCTCAGGCAGGTTGTTGCTGCTTCCTCCAAGACTTAAACTGGACGATGTGGAAGAAGAGCTCAGACCAGAGTCCGGCACAGGAGATGCCTGACACTCCCGCAAGAAGTCAAAACCTCCTGAACACAACAGAGAGACAGGTGTTTGTTCACAAACACATGTTTTTGATGCTGGTTTTCATTTCCCTGACTTGCAACTGGAGATGGCAGTGGTTAATGTAAGAAGGAAACATACAGTGAGCAGCATTACTTGTGTTTAAACATCGCTTGGAATGTGAATCTAATTAGCCTTGTCTACTCACGGAATTTATTTACTGTGATGAAGTTGTCAAACCTAACTACTAAGCTGCTGCACATCTAATCTCATTGTTGCTAATGAGAAGCGGATTCTTTCTGCAAGACACGACAAGTTAGACGCAAATTCAATAAATATGTGAGAGAAGACATTACAAAGCATGTTTTCTTTGGATTTCACTGGCAGCGTTATTATTGTTGTATAAAAAAAAGTCACTATTTCTGGCATACAAATTTTTACCTAATTGGTCAAATGGACAAATAACATTCTGGATATTTTAAAATGTCTAGACATTTGCAAAACAGTTTATCAGCTGGGGGAGGAGGAGAGTGAAAGCAGCCTATCCAGGCCTGAGCAGATGGCCCCAATTTGGGCAAGAGGATAAAAATAGCAGAATGGAATGCTTTAATCAAGACCTTTGATGTCCTCTGTTATTGCTTTTGGCACAGTGTCCAAATATTTTCTCCCCAGATAAGAAACTTATCTATTGTCTGAAAGGAATGCCAGCCATCCCCTCCTGATGTTCAAGTTTTTATTAGGCGAAGAGAATAGCCATGTGTCAAATGCCAAGCTGCTGCTACAACCTTTTAGTAAAGTGGGATTATAGTTGCAACTGAGAAAACTCACACAGGTGACTGCGAGTGAAGGAAGATGTGTTTTTACCTGAAGGTGAATATTCGGGCTGCAGACTTGGTTTGCAGGTGAGCGTCTTGGTGGAATTGATCTCACGTGTCTGCAGTAAGACTGACGCAATGGCCTGGAAGTTGTTGTTGCAGGACAATGTGATGAGCAGGTGGAGGAGAAGACGTTTGCTGTGCTCAAACACCTCTGGACGATAGTGATCCATGCCTGAAGTCAACAACACGATCACACCAGTTAGTCTCTTTCACTGCAATGTAACTAATTGTTTTCTTAATTATCTGCATCCAGCTACACAGTGCATCATCACATTTAGATTACTTATACTATGGCTGTTATGTTCGAGTGAATTTACCCAAAAACAAAGCATGCAGCAGTAAAGGCAGGTGCATGGTCCAGTCTTCTCTCACACTGTGGTCCACCACCATCTCTGTCATGAAGATGACTGCTATGTTACACCTATAACAAGCAAAACAACACACTGTAAAGCCTCTTAAATGAAACACACTTTAAATCTAACTGTGGCAGGTTATGAAAAGTTAGAGAATAATTCCATTGCTGATCTCAAACATCCTCAGAAACTGTTCCAGAGTGTCAGAATGAGCACATTCCTAAATCTGACCTGTGCAGTGGTCCTCTGGGAGTGATGGTCTCTGGTAAAAAGTCCACCAGCGGAGCCCAGCATCCTCCATTCAGGGGCATAGGCAGAGCATGGGGCTGGTTGGTCTCAATAACCATCATCAGCCAATCAGCATAGGGAGGCAAAGGTTCACCTAAATGGTTGCAGAATATTATGTTTACATCAATCCCAGTTTACCTATATAGCGAACTGCATTTCCAAAAATGAGTTTGTGCTTTCCCTGATGCAAGACATGGGTGGCATAAGGTCAAATGACACAGAGGAGAAATACATTTAATTCTCTGAACCCCCAAATCTGCCGGTCCAGTTGAAAGGCAAGTAAACGTTAAGAAAATTGCCAAAATTGCATCATGTATCAGAGCCAGAAAGTATAAAAACAGCAAGAACTGACTTGATTTCCAACGGTCCTTGAACTGTTCATCTGTGACGTGCCATTAAGTCAGAAAACTTAACCAAATCTAGGCTTAAAATCCTGATATTTCAACAAAACCACTCAATTCAACATGTCTTGTTTTAAAATGTACTAAAAAAAAAAAGCATTTACATTAATCAGATTCTGCCCAAAATACAAAAACATTCGAGGTGCAGTATCTAAGAATGCAGTGAGAAATGAGTCCACAGAAACTAAAAACAAAACTGACTGGAGCTCAGTGTTAAAACAATAAACTCCTCATAAAACATCACAAAAGACAATTTCACTTTTGAAGCAGAGTTATCAAAAAGATATTTCAGGATTCTTTAAATCGTCAGATGATTCTTATTCACAATAGTATGCAGGACGAATTCAGCCCAAGACTGAGCAACAAAGCAGTTTTTGGGTCACTGGCTGCAGTGCTGAGGCCCTGGGCTCGACTACTTGTATTTGAGTGCCAGTTCTCACAGAAGCCCTATAAAAGCCCCAGGCTGCTCTGCACTGCTCATGCATTATCAATGACACCATGCCGGTTACCATTTACCCTCCAACCCAGCCTGGGTATCCCACACTCACCAAACCATGACAACCACAGTTTTTCACGGAGTGTTTGAAACAGAAAAACACTCACTCTTATCTTCATCGTAGGATCCACCCGAACTGTTACTGTAGCGTGATTCCAGACGGTTGTGTGCTCGTATCATGTGACTTAGCCTAAGGTCAGAAAAAAAATAAATCTTATAATGTGTCTTGTTAGTGTTGTACTTCACTGAATCACAAGATTGAAGAGGCCACTGACTACTGTACCTCTCTTCATTCTCCTTCACAATCTTGGTATCATCTGTGTCAGGAAAGCTCTCCTGGCCTGCAACAACTGTATTGCTGCTCGATGTGGTGCCTAGAAAAGAAACAAAACCATGTGTTATAGTATCCTCACAGAAAGTCGACTGAGCTGGGATCTATCTGGTTTTCTGTGGTTGACCACTAAGTGGTTCCACTGAAACATTTGAGATTTTTACGGATTGATGATTTTTTTCTACTTAAAAAAACAAAACAATTTTCAACAGGTGTTCGTTCTGTTCAGTAAGACTATGTTTTCCAAAGATGTACCTGAAGCCGCTGCGGAGGCTTTGCTTGTGGCAGTGAAGCGATAGAAAGGAGGGCTATCACAGTGCTGCACCACAGGATTCACTGGATCCATTTGCTGTAGCTCGAATATCAACTCCTCCATGGTCTGCATGGTGTTGTTCCGGCACAGATAGATCACCACCTTCTTGATCTAAATAAATACACCACAGAGTATCCGTGAGAAACTGGAGAGGTTAAAAAAAAAAAGAGAGAGAGAGAGAGCTACATAGCATTTTTGGGGACGACCTAATATCTTACATATGGGAGGAGGGTGGTGTCACTGCTAACACCACACAAGCTGATGAGAAACTGCACTGTGGTTCTCAGATTGTTGCTCCACTTCTCATTGCTGACTAAAGCGTTCCAGGCGTTTTCCATCTCTGGTCCAGGTAGATCGTCTCCATACTGGTCAGAGAAGGTAAAAAAAACACACAACTATATTAGCTGCATTGACCTCAGATTACTCATTAGGCTTTTCATCACATTTCTTCAGCATGACTTTACCTTGGCGGTCATGAACATGAGGTTATTGAGAACCATAGATGTAGCTTGTAAGGAGCCCCAGCCGGTGCCTTTCAGCAGGTGTGATGAGCTTGTGCTGGTGATCGGGCTCGATGTGTCATAAACCGAGGTGCACGGTGTGAAGACTGGGAGCAGCAGGCCGCTGTCCACCAGCTCTATGTTACCGAGCCAGGGCAGGAGGTAGGTTAGCATGATCTGCCTCCCATTGGGATGAGTAGTGGGGAACCTCTGGCTAACCTCTGGAAAAATGCAGAATGAAGGCAACGTAAACATCAGAATAACATCAGTGGCCACTGCGGCGGTTATATTCTATAAGGAAATCAAACACATAATGTATACCCAGTTTCACCATAATGGGCAGTTTGATCCTGATTCGCATATGAATTAACCCTAAAGAGGGGGTGTCTCTTAGTGAATTTAAACTCTCTGTGGTCTGTGGAAGTGTCCATAAATACAACAAGTGTCTGGGTTGTTTGGAAGATGACTTGAGCAGCATTTAGTGGCAAACCAGGAGAAGATGACAAGCTTGCGAGTGTATTACAGCAGGGAGAGAATCTGAAATACACTAGAACAAAGTGCGCTAATCTGACTGCAGTCACACATACAACACAAACAGCTACCTGAGAATAGAGGGAGTGTGAGTTCGGGGTACATCCTGGCCAGCTGGCTGGAGAGCTGAGGCAGGGAGACGCTGTACAGAGATGGCAGTGGACCATGGGTGCCGTAGAGGATGCTGTTTGGCTTCTGCTCTGCAATCTTCTTAGAGTATACGAACAATTTCGCTTCAAGAATCTGTTCAATGAAAGAGTGGAAATGTGTCTGTGGGACAGCCACCACATAAAACTACACAGCAGCACAACAGGTTCTTGTTGCGATTCTCACCTGCATTAGCTGCATTGAGATCTCATAGATTTCTCTGTTGGTGTCCGACGCCTTGAAGAGCACCAGATTCAGCAGCGTCACGATGTCACATGGGTAGCTTTTGCTGGTAAAGAAAGGGAGAAACAAAATTAACTATGAATTAAAAGTGAATGTTTCACGTGATGCTCGGGTTAATTCTTGCTGAGATTAAGCGAGAGGTGGAGAGGTGAACTTCTCGTGAATAATGAGCTCTTTAAGAGGATTAGCTGGTAACACTTAGAGACTTTGCCAGTTTTCTCACTCGGACAAGAAATGCGGCTCATCCAGAGAAATCAGTATCTAACCTCATTAGGGAAATCACCGATTAACTTCACCTCCAAAAAGCGACAAATAAACACAAGATGGTCCAATATAAACCAAAATAAAGGCAGACTGGAGCTAGACTGTCCCTGATACAAACTATGTGTGCAGACAGCTGAGCTTAGCTTGTTGTGAGATTGTGTACCTGCTGCCACAGACTGTGGCGATGGCTTTGAAGCAGCCTGAGGCGAGCTGATAGGAGCCTGTGTAGCAGCGATCCACAGCCCAGTTGAAGAGGTTGACCTGGTCGGCATTGAGCTCCAGGAGCAGGATGACAACTTCACAGCCCAGCTGATGGACCTGAGCCAGGACATCAACACAGTCATATTTCATTCATGTTTTTCTTGCATTCTTGATTTTACATCAGTGATTACCTGAGGCTGTGTCTATTTCAGATGATTTAACCCTCACGTATTTTAAACCCACTGGCACAGGCATGTTGTTGTTTTTCACAGAATTCCAGCATTTATCAGAAACATTTTACAGCAGAAAGAATCATTAGTCTTTCAGCTTTCTGTGGGTCTTTGATCTACCCGCTTGTGATGTGCCACTCGGTCGGGAAACCTATCCAAATCTTAGCTTAAAATCTTGACAGTTTTATCAAAGTCACAAAATTCTACATAGCTCAGTTAAGAATTTGATTTAAAAAAAAAACAAACTGATTTGCACAAACAAGATTCCAGAAATATTCTGTGATCCTTGTCGCAATCGGGAAGCCATTACTGACTGAGCTGCAACCAACAGTCACATAACAAAAAGGCTGGACTGCGTTAAACTGCAGACTGTATTCAGCTTGTATTCATCACTTTCCCCAATAATGGCAATGCCTGCTCTTGAGAAAATGCTGACTCCAGATTTTTTTCAATTTTTATAAAATAAGTAATCAAAGAAATTCAATTGTTATTTTTTAAAAACTTTTTTATGATTCTTGGAACTTTGTTATACAGCACAAAAGACATTTTTGAGGTCTCTCTACTTCTAGCCATGGTTGTGCTGTTTCGACAGAGGTGCAGGACTTTATGTTGCAGTAAAAAATGAGCTGACGGTGAGTAAAAATGTGACAGGAGCAAAGAATGCCCAGAAACTGCTTGGCGTTCAGAGAGTTAAAACATTCAGTGTAAAATGATTCCAGTAGCTCTACTTCTGTCATATCAAAGAGCTGATAAATTACATTTCCTGGTTAGCTTCCCAGTTAATACCTCAAGCCATGTGATGGGCTTTACAAAGGAAGAAATAAAAAAATAAAAAAATAAACATGCAGCCGCTTTATCTTGTATTACAGTAAACTGGAATAAAGATAGTATCACACAAGTTTATTTTGAAACAGGACTCTCCTTCAGTAGTTGCCAGCAGCAAGATAATGGTGAGCAGTTGGCAAAGAATAGTGCTGGGCTTTTATAAAGCAGGCTTCAGCAAGCTATCGGATGAGCTTCCTGGGTCAGCTCTTTGTTTAACTGCACCACAGTGGTGAAGTATTGGCTACATACCCGCTGATCCTGGCAGGCTAGTATATTATCCAGCCACTTATAGAGGTATCCGTCTGGAGAGAGGCCAACGTTATCAAACACAGGCCCACAGCACAGCACAGCCGACATGGCCTGGAAGAACAGACATCAGTCAAGAATGCAGAATCACATGTTAATGGTTTTAATAACTGCTCTACTTTTAGCCTCATCTTACGCTGCCAAAATAGCAACACATTTACATCCAATGTCAACACCAGCGCTGGACAAACATGGGTGATTGGCTCCAAAGTTTTCAGCCTCTGTGATCTTGCAATGATCTTAACAGCTGTGTTGTTTTGTCAAATTGAAGGAAGTTATGTTTACCTTCAGGGCACAGTATTGATATCTTGTGATCTGGTGATTCCTGTCACTGTAGCGGTCCAGAGGAGTGAACATGATGCTAAAAGGGCCGGCCCACTGGCTGAAGAGGATGAAGAGGTGATGCCGCAGGCTCTGCTGTGGAAACAGGAAGCGCCTGTGGTGCACTGAGGACGCAAACAAGAAAGGCTTATTAACAAAGTGTAGAGTCATCTAAAATATCCACGCACCTTAAACTTGTAACTCACTACTAAAAGTGCACTCCTCGATATGATAACAAGATGCTGATGTCCCTTGACAGACCATTAGCCGCTCAGTGGGGACTTGTGAATGCGTGGTAACCCATGAGTCATCACCTGCCCTTGCCTGCTCTGTCCTTAAGTTGGACTATTTTTGGATCAACTCCCCCTGGACTACATCCAAAGCAAGATCAATGTCAAGAGTCTTGTACTCTGTGTGCTGTGCTAACTCCAGCCAAATTGAAGCCTATTATAAAATTCACAGTTTGCAAATGGACAGAGTAAGGCACATTTACAGGCTTCATTCTGAAATTTATCAGTCTGAGCAGTAACTTGTTAGAGGGGGAAAAAGAAGGACTTTAAAGTTGAGTTATAGGAGTACCTGGTACACATTGGATGAGGTTGGCCACCATGGCGCTGAAGTGAGCTCGAATGTCCTTGAGGATCTCTGCATCTTTGTCATTCTCAGCTTCCAGGAGCATCCGGGTTAGATCCACATACTCCAGGAACAGAGCACCCAGGGCCAGGGTGTCACGTTCCAGAGCTCCGTTTGTGCTGCGGGATCACAGAGAAAACAAGGAGACGCCCAGTCAAGAGAAACCACAAACCAAATAGTATGCAACAATGTCTTAATTTCTAGTTAAACATCTGTCAGAACCCAAACTGTACATGTGTTAATTACAACGGTGTTTGATCAACCCCTGTACTTTCAGCTTAACTTTGAAAACTGCTGGTGCATTTTACAAATTTGAAAATTAAGCTACACCATTTAATAGATTTTTACAAGAAACTCTGAAAACAGATTTGCAGATTTTCACTTTCCTACTCATCCTTAATGTGCCGTTCGGTCAGAAAACTGAACTAAATGTAGCTCAAAGTCCTGATATTTCATACTATATTACTATTACTATACTCTATTTCACACGTCTCGTTTAAAAAGTCACCAAAAATAAACAATTTGCATGAAACAAATTTGGTAAAAAAAACCCCTAAAACTTCAGCGCTCCTCTGGACAACTGTGAAACTTGTGATCCCTCAGCTACAACCAACAGACACATGACAAAAAAATCATGTACTTTTTGGTTAAAATAAATTGAACTACAGACAGCGGAGCAGAGAGGAGAAACTGGCCCACATTAGGAAAAACTGTAACCAGAACAAAAAAAAAAAACGATTGGGGGATGAGGGTTAAGTAGCAAAAAGTCAACATTATAAATCCTGGTGACCCTTCTTAATGAAGTACCCTGGATGTGATGCTATCATGTGTTGGGCTAAAAGTGTGAACTAACGCCACACTAACCTGTCGCTGATGACACCTGCGTCAGCCAGCAGCTCAAAGATCCGCAGCAGCTGCAGCCTCAGCAGGTCTCGCCGCTCACGCCGCTTCTTGTTCTGCAAAACATCATTAATATGAATCCTGAATGGAAGAAGAAGCCCTGGAGACCATATTAGTAATTCTCATTTGCTGAGTGATTTTCTGAAAGATCGCAGCTCTCTGGTATGATCATGTATAATTTAGTCCATTCACTCTCATGGTACATGTTCTACTTATATCACGTATGTTCAAACAACAAACAAACCTCAGGTCTTCTTTCTAAAGCCTCCTTCATTAGGGGATGTAACTCTTCCACGAGTTCCCTGTGTGCACACATTGAAAATACAAACTTGTAAAATGCTTCATCAAATAATATTTGGTTCATTAAACAAAATTAAATTACATTGTGACTATTATTTTTTTTTCTAGGGAAAAGAGATTTAAGCTGTAAAATCAGATTTCTAGGAAACAACTGTAAAAGGCAACAAGGCAGCACTCCAGTATAATCCCCTGTTCATCTCCACTTTAAATCCACACGAATACAGATCAACATAGGCTTTAATTATGGAGAAAATAATGGAACTTCCATTTGACTGGTTCTGTCTCACTAAAAGAGCAGCTTAAATCAGAGGCACTAAACTGTTACAGATCATAAGTAGCAACCTTAACAATTAACAAGTTTTCGTAAAAGGAAATTAGGGGTAAAATTGGTTCATTAATGCAGTGGAAGGATTCAGAGTTGAAGACCTGAAAGACAGTTCTTTGATATACCTGAATATGAGTGAATTGGTGCGACCAAAGCCCAGAACTAATGACTCTGTCAACTCAATGCTCTCTGCCCTCATCAGTGGAACCAACTGCTTCAGAAGCCAAGCCACAGATGGGCTCCCGATAACCTGAAACATCAAACAGCGACTGTTCAGTCAAACAAATAAAATCTGTCACGCTGCTTGAACACCACTAATTACTGAGGGCTGCATTGAGATAAGTGTCTGCGCAGTTAAGAATATATTGCCTTCCTGTCGCATTCATGTGAAATGGCTGCTGTGCAATTCGATGCTTTGAGTTTGAACGTCAACAAGCTCAGTATGAACACCTGATCCTGGAGAGACAAAGCACTGAGGGAATTAATAAGGCCGGAAAATGGGGGAGGCAGCTACCTTGTTATCGTAGCTGACACCGCTGTCAGGCGTAGGAGCTGTGATCTCAGGTGTCGACGCTCTCAGATGGCCGGGGCTCATGATACTGGGCTTGGCCACCCCAAAGCAAAGGATCAGGTAGTTTCTCCACAGGGTTACATAATTATCCCCACTGCCAGAAGTGCTGGTTTTCTTTGCATACACCGGGTTGCTGGAGAATCATAAAAAAGGAAATATTATTAGATCCTTATTTTTATCTCGGCTGTTTTTAACAGAGGATCTTGAGGGGGAGTTTTAAGCTCAATGGGAAACTGGTATCAAGTGGCCAGGCTAAAAACAGGAACACTAAAAAGGGAAGTAAACAAAATAGAAAACAGAGGAAGTGTTTCATTATCCATCCTTATCTCACTGCAGGATGTGCGGGCACTTACTTTGGGTCTACCAGCGGCATTAGCATCTGCATTCGAGTGAAGGCGTAGGGCCAGGCGTAGCTGAGGGCTGTGGGGCAGTGCTTGGGCAGGTTGTCCTGTCGGAGGAGGCTGTATACACACAGCACCCAGGGGTCCTTCACAGACTGGGCAAAGATCCACACATGCGAGGGGCTCCGAATGTCATAATGACTGTTGACGAGCAGCGCATTCCACTCCACGAGCCACTGAAGGTCTACGTGGTGACCAGCTGGCAGGGCGGCCTGCAAACAAGCACGGCGGGGGTCAGAGGTCAGGGGTCATGACTGGATTAGATATCCGACGACAAGCCTTTGTTTAATTTCTTATGTGCAACACTAATAATTTACACGCTATTAAGGAAAGTCCAACATCGGATTATCGCACAGTATATTTAGAAACCCATTTTCATAATGCATAGAAGGATATTTACTGCATTATCACATCCTCAATAAATTCTCAGTATCGTGTTGATAGCCCGATGATTACGTAAATGAGAGTCATTTGGCCAACAGCTGCTCAGTTCCAGCTGCTCGCTCAGTAACTAAATCGAGCTCCTGCCTCGCAGTAAACGTAACAAGCAATAATTTGCTGTTTAGTGTGGTTAAATTGTTGAGTGACGCCCGATCATCTCTTTAAAGGGGTATCTCACTGTTCTATTTATAAGTCAAGTCATCTGAAATTGCCACAGTGGGAATAGAGTTGAATCTACGGAACAGCAAAAACAAATGATCAAATAAACAGTTGAGCAACAAAGTGAAGATACAAACAACTTACTGTGTCAGAGACTGCAACGTTGACGAAGCTCTCCAGGATAATGGGGCTGAGCTGATCCATAATCTCTATCATTGGTTTATCATCATCCTGCAGATAAACAGGTATAAAATCTCAATCTGTAAATTAAACATCAGTTTCTACGACAGACAGAATGATACATACGAATTTACAATAGAAAAAAGAGTATTTAAAAGTCTAAATACAGTATAAGAAAATAAATAATATCAAGCGTACAGGAGAGTGGACCAGGACTATTGGGTTTTACTACACAGTTAACCCGCCGGATCAGTTCTGCTGCTTGTTTGTTTTACCTCAGACTGTCCGATGGTCATGAAGAGGCTTCGTATCTCTTTCAGTATCGCAATGGCGAGTCTGCGGGTGCTCAGCTGGCAGGAGCAGAGCAGCACGACCGCCAGTCCCTCCACAGCATGAAGCACAGTGGAGTGAGGACCTCGTTCTGCAGGGATCTTGAGGCTCGAGCTGCTCTGAAGCAGCTGTGACATAAAAATAAAAATAAAACAAAAGCTGAATTCCAAGTTGTGTTATTAAAGTAAAGCATTGGTAAGTTGGATTTCTATTTCTACAACAGATACTTGTCAGCATTACTAATCAGAAAGCCAGATAACAGAAAAAACACATCAGTCAAACTGTGTCATTCTCTCTTGTTAAGACACAAGCACAAAGGTGTGTACCTCCACTGTGTGCATTTTCGTGGTGTCATAGCTCTTCCCTGGAGCTGCCAGCGTCAGTTTCCACTGTGTGAGCAGCTGCAGCAGTAATTTAAGGGACGTATCTAACAATCCCTGGTGGGTGTCTTGGACCTCACGTAACAGGAAGTTAGTGAATCCAAACAGGACATCATCACGCCAGTCGGAGAAATCCACCAGCAGACTCTGCAAGGAATTCTGGGCAATGAGTCGAAGCTCGTCATCCATGTGGATTGTCAATCTAGGACGAAATTAAAAAATCAGAAATAAGATTAGGTCAGTCTGTGGGGTTACATTTTCAATCAGTTTATCCTGAAGACTTCTTGGTTGGGATTTTCTGTAGAATTTGAAGTACAAATTTGACAAACAGTAATAAAGTCCCAGAGAGGGGTTTCTTTAATTCAACCACCTTGAATTTCCTTGAAACGCAGGAAGTTTTAAGTGTTTAGAGTCTGGAATACCTTCAGTATAACTGGGCCACAACAGAAAACAAACTCCTCACCTGAGTTGAAACAACTTTTACTATATACTTTAGCATATTTGTTATCAGGCAGTTGGTTTAATACGTTTGCTGAATGTGTTAAAGTAAAAAAAAAAAAAAAAACTAAATCAAAGTTTAAAGTTCATTGCATTGTTTTTTAACAGGTTAAACAAAAATGATCCGTCTATGCAAATACAGTTGTGTAACTAGCTCAGAAAAATAACTTGATTGCAGGCTGTAAAAAAAAACAAATTGTGGTAACATTTAATTCAAGATTACCCTGGCTGGTATCTGAGCGTCTGTCAACAAGTTAGGAACTTTTGGAACAAAGTTTCACAACACTTGATAACATCTGCAGTCAATTATCTTGTCAGACTGAGCAGCCTGAGCTTGATCTTTCCTAGAAATGTTGTTTCCACAAGACAGGTGACTCACCGAGAGAGCAAGTCAATGAGCTCTGGCTTGGACATCCCGTCGGGAAGGATGCGAGGAATGGCGGCAACACACGTCCTAAACAAGTCGATCTTTGGCTTCCTTTCACCTCTGAAAAAGGTCAGATTTTAATCATTAATCCAAAGGATTGTTTCCAGTGTGTTTAACAGTTAAGTGTAAACTGACAAAGCATAGTGATAAATGTCAGAAAGAGTTAATAAGTAAGAATGATTTAATGGTGGTACATTTAACACTCCCCTGCTGAATCATTCTGGACTTTTGCCAACCTAAATGTTTTGGCAGCTGAGATGATAGAATGCATACGCGCACTTACGTGATCATGTCCTCAGGCTCCTTGTTCAGCATCTGAGCGTTCGTCATCATCATGCAGCGTCCCACCTCCTTGTCCAGGTGTCTGAGGATGTTGTCAATAGCCTTCCGCACATGAAAATAATACTGTGACATACCTGGAAAAGACGAGAGAGGAAAAAAAAAACTGTTCAGAATCCACTCTGTTGATGCTGTAATGTGAGTCTGCAAAAAGCCTGACATTTCCAGCATTCCTGAGCACGGTCTGTCTCCCTCACCGATGACTTTGGCCTCCTCATCTGTCAGCGTTTTGCTCAGGTATGTTTTCTTCACTCGGAGTGTGTTCCCAGAGGGCAAAGTGCAACCGGTGTTAGGCATGGGAGGCTCGCCGTCCTTCTGCTGCAGTTTATCGGCTACGACCAGGAATGCTCTCAGACCAATATTCATTCTCTGAACAGGAAAGAGAGGTCAGCTGTTAATTATCGGGGTGAAAAAAAATCCTTCAGCCTGCAGTTACTGAAGCGAATGCAACTTACATAAAGTCACCTAGCAACAGCAGCAATGGTGGCGCCACTGTGGGCATATTTGAGGGGAACCTGGGAATCCTTGGACTTGTTGGGTTCTCATGTATGTTTTTATAGGCTCAACCTTTTAGAACTAAATTAGTCAAATTAATCTCCATAATTAATAACACTGTGTGGTCTTAGCCTTAATATGCTGGAACATCACTTACTTGAGTGATGTTAATCTCTATAATTAATAATAATGTAGGGTCTCAGGCTTAATATGTATTAAAGATAGGCAAAGTAGTATTTTATATCATTTTTGTAGGGTTTAATCCCATCCATCCATCCATCCATTATCTATACACCGCTTGATCCTCAGTAGGGTCGCGGGGGGGCTGGAGTCTATCTCAGCTGACTCAGGGTGAAGGCAGGGGACACCCTGGACAGGTCACCAGTCTATCACAGGGCTACACTTAGAGACAGACAACCAAGCACACTCACATTCACACCTACGGACAATTTAGAATCACCAATTAACCTCAACATGTTTTTGGGAGGAAGCCGGAGAACCTGGAGAGAACCTACGCTGCACGAGGAGAACATGCAAACTCCACACAGAAAGATCCTGGGTGTCCTCACCAGGACACGAACCGGTGACCTTCTTGCTGCGAGGCGACGGTGCTAACCACCGAGCCACCTTGCAGCCCGGGTTTAATCCCTAGTATGTAAATTCCACATTCACACAATAGATATCACTACAGGGCCTTCACCTCAGTATTTACACTTGTTAGGCTACTTTTGTAATGCAAATTCTAAACTTGTTATTCTGGAGAGCACTTTAATGACACTTAGCGCTGTATAAAACATGGACTTGATTTGATATGACTATTATATTTTGTTTATGGTGCATGTTTGGGATCTTAATATTTGTTAGATTTGTATAATTTTGTCTAATTTGACATTTGTTTTACTTTATAACTTTGCTTTTGAAAGGTTCTAGACAAATAAAGTTATCATTATTAATATTACTAGTACTATTGCTGGTATTGTTTTCAAACAGTTCTCCTGGTGTAAAAGTGGGTTAAATGCTGTAACATAAAATTCCAAGGCCAGTAGATACATAACTTGAATGACCACTATTCAGTCAGACATTCAAATGTTGTATCAATATCATAAGGTGTGGATAATACACTTTCGACCACAAGAACACAAGAACTATGTTGTATTTACTTTAAAAGATACACATCCATAAGTAGTATGAAAGACCTTCTATGTAATTTCCTTTTGAACTAAGAATGAATGTGAGAAATACAATATATATATATAATATTATATAATCTATAAACTGTTTGAACTGCTGTCATCAGGCAAACGTTTCTGGAGCATTAAAGGAAGAATCTCCAGAATGATCAACAGCTTCACTCCTCAAGCTGTCAGAAAGCTGAACTGCTGATTCAGATATGCAAATACTTGGTTATTTAAATTGCTTTAAGTTACTGGATCCTGAAGAAACACTCTCTCATCTTTCTTGTACGACTGTGTATGTACAGCAAAATGACAACAAACTTGATTTTATTTGATTTGAGAAGTTCAAGACACAGAGCAAAGTTTCAAGTAAAGTATTACTACTTCAGGAAATTAAGTTTAATTTGGGCTTCATGAAATACAAAATAAACCCAAGTGTGTCACATTTATGTATAAGTAAATGCTGAATGCCTACCTCAGGATTAAGACTAAAGGCTTTTGCTGGTTTCCCAACACACAGAAGGTCAAAGATAATCTCTTTCATGGCAAAATCCAGTCGTTCCTGTAACGGAATAAGGAAAAATGTGTAATGAGAGCATTACATTATACAAGGTTCCATGAGATATGACGTCTGCTGACAGCATAGCACATCCGTGTGTTTACCTGTGCGATAAACTGGATGATTTTGACAAAGATATTAAGGGGCATGTCTCTTGGTACCACACTGCGGGATCCTTTGGGGAAAAGTGTTGTAATAATGGTGTTGAGTCGACTGTGGAGGAAAAGAAAAGAACACGTTATGAGGACACCTTGAGCAAGCATTTAAAAGTTTTGTACAGTGTTCTATTGCTTGAAAGGAGGTTTATTTTAAGACATGTTTATTTTAGGCCTAATTAACACATTTAAAAAGTCTGGCTGGGCCTGTCTGGGATTCCTCAAGTGGGCCCAGGCTCATAATAACTGCTGATAAACCTGTGGGCCACTGGCACAGAAAAGCAGCACTCCTGGACATGCACGTGCAGAACTAAGTATTTATGTTTCACCAAACTGCAATAAAATCCAGAACAAGGATAGACGGTTTGGTCTAAAACTGCTCCTGAAATGAACTTTTTTGCTCTTTCCTTAAAATCCAGTTGCAAATATAAACTAAAACATTTTTCATTCATGCTCATTGAAAACACTAAAAGATATTTACCCCTGTGTTGCAGTGTTGCTCTCACACTTGATTCTGATCATGTAAACCCACAGCAGTCGGTACAGGGACTCCAGTGCAACACGAGCCATTTTAGGGTCTCTACTCTGTAATAAAATCACATTTATAAAAGAAAGTCAGTGACAGAACCAGCCTGAAAGTGGTATTTATTTCAGATTATGATGCAATAACTAAATGAGATCATTACTGTAATCACCCAACGCTTATATTGCTGCAATAATTACAGTCTAAAGCACTCAACTCTCAGTGTTATCGTGCCATGCGGACAATAAAATACCAAATAACAATTAAGACACTTCTATCAGTATTTTGTGCAACACAGATGCACACGTGATACACACAGCTTTACAGATCTAAATACCCCTCGATGGTAAACAAAGACAGCTGTAATCTGACTTAATGGCTGCTGGTTTCCGGGTTACATTACCTTCAGATTTGAGAGGCAGTTGTTAAGGAAGACGTGCCATCTGTTAAGGAAGAACTGTTTCTGGCTGACACACAGCAGGCACGTCACCAGGGGGTAAAAAGCCTGAGCAGAGGATAGCAAGTGTTGAGATTCCAGAATTATATATTGCTTGGGTAAAAATAGCTTCAACTTATATTTAAAAAGTATACTCTCTATGTGTAGTATTTGTCTTTTAAATGGACAACTTAAGGAATGTATTATCTCTGAGCCACATCTGCATAAGTACATTTTAAATCTTTTTTTTCTCTCTTTTAAAAAAAAATAAAGACTTTGCTGATCATGCATTGCTTATAAAATGCTGCCTCGGAGGAATGTAGACCTTCTCAGAAAAGTTTCATAAGGGCTGTTTTCTTTCTTAATACCTATGAACTACTGTGGTGAAATGCTTTAGAGAAGGGACTTTACATTTGCTTAGATACTGCATGCTGCATTGCTTCCATGCTCTTTTCTGTGTTTAGAAATGACTGCCTGTCTGCCCTCATAAATTATTTCTACGTTGTAAAATAACATTACACAAGAGTGACCTTGAGGATTCACAGAGACCACAGGCATCCAGCATGCAGCAGAGGGTGTCAGAGGGAAAACAGAGAGCCAACAATCAGTGTCAGTTTGTTTTCTGCTCTGTAACTAACCAGCGAGTGCTTCTTTCTGGAGGACAAGTCCAGGGTGGTGTCGTACAAGCTGTCCACAAAGTTCCTCAGGCAGGGCACGTTCACCTCGTTCTTCACGGCCTAGGACAACACCAGACGGGGTCACGTGAAAAGAAACGATCCTCTGCACAGTTTTTCCACTGAAATCAATTAGCCTGTGATACATGCAACATGTACGGGAGAAAAATAAAACTTCTTACTGCTGCAACAGGAACCAGAATCTCAACAAAAAGGCCAGCCAAGGCATGCTTAATGTCCTTGTCCTTGACTTCGAGAAAATAATGGGCACACTCCTGTGGAAAAGAAAGGAGCAGATTGTCCAACTTAGATCTACTGTACATGTGGAGAAAGTTAGGAAAGGATTTACACAAGAGATAAACAGACTTTTACTATTAATGGATGGTGAATGTAATCCACAAACTGCATGACAAAGCCAAAAGGAAACATAGTCAAGGGCAGGAAATCTTAACAATGATGGGAATCTTTAAGTATCTAATAGTTTTAAAACCCAAAAATCAAATGACAGGCAATACATAAGAAAAGAAAACAGATTCTGAATGTATGGTTAATAACATTTCATCAGTTTATACTGATTGTACTGAACTATGATTCATTTACTGAAGTCTGTTGTACCTGCATGAACTGAAAAGAGGCTTCAAAATCCTCGACGGGATACATCTTAATTCGGAAGAACTTGACCCCCATGATGAGGCTGATGGTGCTCTGCACTACATATGGACTCTGCTCTTTCTGCCGCAGCTCCTTCAGCTCAGTCATAAACTTCTTCTTCACAGCAGGAAACCTGAGAATAAAATAACTCATTCAGATTCTATATAAAGACATGCATTCACAGCTCAGTCAGACGAATCCCAAATCAGCACTTCCACAAAAAAGTAAGAACTCTGGAGCTGGGACTACAGTTGCAATATTCAAGGGAGCGCAAGCCTCCCAAAAATATCCCCCCCTTGTCTCCACGCTTTACGACTGCGAGTCTGCGGCCCAAGATGAACTCCTTGTCTAGCACCTGATCCTTTGCCCAAATTGAACCAGAGATGGGATTCTTCAGCTGGTCTAAATTTAGACATTAATTCATCATGGGAGCTTATAAGAGCGTTTCTTAATCTCTTCCCTGGTGGCTGGTGCTGCACTTGTACGAAAGTGAATCCAGCTGTTTCTGTATCTTGCTCATGTGAGGAAAAAATAGTGTATTATTTCAACAGAAGTGATGATTAAGAAACCGCATCTGTGAAAATACTGCCAATACAATTTTAATTTTGGTCAAACTCGTTCCCTCTTTTTTTCAGAGAAGAGTAAAGATCTCTATATAAGTCCTTCAGTGAAGCATCTCTCACAGGAAATTAAGCAGAGCGCACTTTGGAGAGGAGGTATGCGGCATGCTCACTAACCATATCTCTATTTTAAGGGATTGCTCCTTGCTGCAATGATCTAAAAACTTCAAATAAACAGACATCAATTTCCAGTCCAAGTTTGGTGTGAAGGGGACCTGTCTAAAAGCATGTCGTCCCTTCAGTGCGTTCCAGTCTCCTGAACCGGGCGATGTTTTGCAGAAAGACGTTCGGAATGGTAACACACCAACATGATGTGACAAACCCCAACAAAGCAGAGAATAAAGATTTGACAGCCACTAAATTAAGATGGAAAAACAATAACATTCAATTATATAATCATTGTCCTGTCTTTGCTACTTACTTGGACTGGGCTAATACTCCTATGACTTCAGCATAGAGGTCTGCTACAGTGTGCATGTTGCCAGTGTTAGGACCGTGATACCTGCAGGGAGACACGATATTAGGCAAAGAGAAGCGAACCTTAGAGAAACTTAGATATATGAAAGAAAAATAAACGGTGCTGGAAGGGATGAGAGCTTACCCCTCTTTGTATCTAAAGTGCTTAAAGGCTAAGTTAATGACTTCATTCACCAAACTGTCGAGCACCGGGTAGAGCGGCATCTAGGTAAGAATCAGGAGACACGCTGGCATGAGAATGTACTTTGGAAAAAAAAAGATATTCTTGAAATACTGGCCATGTCAAGAACATTTTTTTTAGTAACAATAAATCAAAGGAGTTCTATGGAAGTGAGCTTTATACCCTAAAATAATAAGATTATCTTTAAGTAGCTTTTGTGTAGCTGAAGGTGTGGTCAAGTCACCTGTTTTAAAACTTCTATAAGCACAAGAGAGAAGATGAAGTCGATGGCCAAATCCCTCCTTTCAAGTAGATAATCCCTCTGCTGCTCGTCACTGTTTGAAAGAGAAAATACAAGAACAGCAGGTTTGCCACAGTCGTAGGATTACATGGGAGCTTCACTCTTGTTTTTTCTTTATGATTTCCACAGGTGGCACGTTGGAGAGATCAGAGCATCGATTCTCACTTTTTGGACTTGGTGTTGGCTCTCGGCCGGTACTCGTGCAGCTCCTCCTCCAGTCCGTTTTGTCTTTTGTACCAGTCGAACAAAGTGCGCAGGATGGAGGGGAGACTGTATTCAGCCAAAGAGCTCATGGTGCTTATCAACTAGAAGAAACGAGACATACATCGTGCAAATGTACATTCGTGTGAAGCAGTTAACATACCAGAGCAACAGATAGCAATCAGTGCTTCCTTTGTTTATTTGTGCAGCAATTTTACCTAAAATTCCAACAGCACACAAGGATTCATTTACATTTCATCATGTTTCCTACATTTAAACAACAAATACGGCTAAATGAGGCAGCTTTTAAGTAAAGCCCAAGGCTGCATTTAGAGAGAGAACTGAGATTGGAGAGTGTGTTGGTCCTTATTGGGACTATACAGAAAGACACGGTGCCCATGGGGCTGCCTCCCTCAGTCTTGGGGGAGGGAGAGGGAAAGGAAGGAACGGGCCGGGCACACAGGAAGGGAGGAGAGTCTGGCCGGACTGGGGAACACAGCGAGCCCTTCATTCAGCACCAGGCTGGAGAAGAATCCTGGCTCTGTGTGGCTGCTGAATGGCCTCGCGCAGCAGCACAAACACACCTCTGTGGCTGTGAAAGGGCCTTCTCTGCAAAGCCACAGACCTGCTGGACACACCTAGTGCCGAGCCAGTGCCAGCTCTCAAGGTAAACACCCCTGCCCTTGACTGAATCTGAAAGACCTTTTGGGATGTGAGCGAGGCTTTCAACCATTGACTCTTTCATGTTGCAGTGCATCACCAGAGCAGCATTTAACACAGTCCTTTATATCATCGGCGCTGCAAGGTTTTCATGTAAAATAAAAAGTCATCTCATGCAGGTTAAAATGAACAGTTGCCTGTATTCCTCTGCACTTACTTGGTCAAACTGAGGATCTTCTCCCCTCTGTAGTGACTTTGTTAATGGCTTTTCCTGAAAACACAGAAAAAGGGCATCATTTTACAACTTTGTATGTTTTCTTAATTCGACAGATTAGAACCTGGGAAAGTTGTTAGAAGTTTGGACTGTAGCTTATAACTGTATCCGCCCGGTCCGGTGAGTGTGGAGTATTTTTGAACAGGGTTTTATTACAGCCCAGCTAATGAGAGAGCCATCAGTCAGTCTGTTGCCTGGCATGAGCAGGCAGGGTCACGTACAGTATTAGAGATGGGCCATTCATGACAGCTCCCATTATTACAGTCTTCTATCATCTGAGATAAAAGCCTTCAGGAGGGATTTAGGCTCAACATACTCATCTCCTGTGAAGCGGACAGTCCTGTAGATGGCTTCTGGGTGATATCAGGTCACATTATTAGAAGCAAATGAAGGCTGAATGAGCTTAAACGTCTATAAAAAACTGGTGTTTTGAACTAATCGTAGTTTTCCCAAGTAGTTCCAATAAAACACATTAAGGCTTTATAAGTTGCAAGCTGATTTAATTTGTACATAAATGAAACACCGCGCCTCAACATTTACCTGTAACCTTCTGGGAAACAAATAAATTAAAACTAGGATAAATAAATAAAATTACTTGATGTGTTTCACTGCAGCTTTTAGAGATACTTTTTTGACTTAATGACAAAGCAGTCCATCTAAATCAGTAACAGGAGGATGTTTATGTCGACACTTAACCCAAAATTGCCATCTAATCTGTGGCGCCGCGAATCAGAGCATCTGCTTTCATTTACCTTTTTGCTACTCTGCTATCCCAGATACATCCCTTTGCTGTCTCATCAGCCAGACAGCACATCACTTGCTGATTAATCCAAAATAGCTAACTGTCTAATGTGAGTGACATTGACATTGTGTGGGCTGACGGCAATGTCGCTCTCTCTCTCTCTCTCTCTCTCTCTCTCTCTCTGTTTCCTGCAGCTGGAACACCAGCTAAGCCCCATGCACTGATGAACCTTTCAGTTTTTAGACAAATGCTTGCATCTGAGGAGCCCATCTGTGCTGGAATGACAGAAAAGTCGATGCCTCTTTGCACTGTCAGGCTTTCACCGATTTTACTGCCCTTCGTGGCAGCCGGATACACTAACACTGTATTCAATCACCTCAGGAATTTATGGCATTTTTTTTTTAAAAAATGAGTGTATTTTTGCAACCTGAATATAAAGTTTTTCGTTTGCATATAGTTCTGTGGGTGGTTCGGTGGTTATCACTGTCGCCTCACAGCTAGGAGATCACTGGTTTGTGTACTGGCTTGGGTCTGGGATCGTTCTGCTCCAAATACTATATGTTTATTTGACTACTTACATTTTTTATTTATGTATTAATTTCCATACTTGTCTAGTATCCGCTCTGTGTAAGGATAGTCTGCAATTCAGCCAAGTTCACCTAAAATCTTTGAATTTTTGTCACCTGACTATTACTCATGGCAGTCACTAATAGCCTCTTGGCTGCACCACGGAGAGCAGAAAACAAAAAAAAAGTATAAATATTTTTGGTAAATCTTTGAATGAGACACGTAGATCAAAGTGATTTTGATTAACTGCCACAATTTTAAGGTTAGACTTGGATGTTTTTCCCAACAGAACGGCAAGTCACAGAGGAGCAGTTTAAGAGTCATTGTAAAGTTGGAAATCCAACAATTATGTCTGTCTTTACGGTTTCTGGTTCTCATAATTGGTGTAATTTTGGTGATTTATTTCAAAGACAACATGCCTTTCAAACCCACCGGAAGGATTTGGGGTTCACGGAGGTCAAAGAAGTTCAGGAACAAGGGGGGACAACTGTATGCCGATAACGATACAGCAAAGCTAAAACAATTTACTCAGACAGTTCTCCACTGAGAGGAAATACAAAGCGAGACACATCCTCCCTTCCGTTCTCTAGAGGATATTACGAAAAAAGAAAACTAGGGGCTGCACACTTTCCCTGTGGTAATTAACACGTCCCTGCAGACCGAGGCCAGTGACTAACAGCTACACATAAATCACAGCCACTAAAACTGGAGACAGCATGTCCACAGCAGCCTCACTGATGTAAGACTGCAAGTACAACACACAGTATATCAGACCTGTTAAAAATCACATGGAAGTGTAACTATTTCTGGTAAACAACTCAACCGTGCCATAGGACACGAAGCACAAGGTATGACAATTACCGCTAAACGCATTTCAGTTTCCTCGTAATGTGGATCAGTCGGTCATTTTTGGCTGACTTTCAATAGCATTTGTAAGATACTAACGTGGTTCTAGGAGCAGGTGGTAAATGGTGCCCACAGTAACAGACAATGGCTCTTCCCCACCTGCCTTTCAGTAAAAAGAATTATTTATAACAGCTGCTGTTGGCCCTACCGAGCGGCTCCACCTTCCACCGCACAAAAAGTCTCTCTTGGAAGATTTTACTGGCAGCTTTTACCTTCATCTGCTTTTCCAGAAATGATCATAAATCTGTATCTTTAGCAGCAAGTCAGAAAACAATAGATCAAAATAACAAAGCTGCGAGTCAGTTCCAAATGCAAAAGATTAAATACTGGAAGAAGAACCGAAACCTTTTTTATACGGATTATTTTTCAGGCACTTTTCTCATCAAAATACTGAAAATATTATGACAGGGTCGCAACAAGTGATTATTTTCATGACGAATCTACCGGTTATTCTTTCCATTAATTGTGTGATATATAGAATGTTAGATTAAAGAGTAAAACGTCCATCATCTTGTCCCACAGTCAAAGGTAACATCTTCAAATGACTTGAAAAGCCACAAGCCCTCAGTTCACAGAGTTGGAAATGGAAAATTATTTTAATTATAAATCAACTGTCAAAATACCTGTTGAATCATTCTTTTGGTCTAACTGACTAATCCATAAGATCGATATAATCTCTGCATACCAAATATTTTTGTAAAAACTACACATCACAACTGCTTTTGTGCCATTCAATTACTATAATTTAAATGCTGTCATTGTTTTTGATGACCTGTATTTGTAAATTTCAAACTGTTATATTGAAACATTTATTTTCCTCTCTCTATTTTAAGTAAAGGATCTAAATACTTGCACCATTGTATGTAATTGATTGCTGTCGAACCATAAACTATTGCCCCGTCTCTCAGTCTTCCTGTCTGACATTGTCAAAGTGCCTCAAAACACCCACAAGGTTCTCACAAGATGATTAATGGAGCAGCAAACAAGAACTTTGAATATTTTGATATTTTTGCAGATATAAGACTCTTGGGAGTATGTTTTTGCTCTAAAATTAACCAGGAGCAGTAACCATCTAGTCCGTCAGTCTCCGCCCACTCACCAGCGGCTCGGCCATGATAATGCGGATCTTGCGCTCGGACACGGTGGTGAAGTTGGCGAACAGGCTCTTGAGGACGTACTCGCCCGGTTTGCTCTCCGGGTCGATGCTGATGGGCATCATGGCTGGAGGACCCTTCTCTCCCTGAGGACAGCAGACTGGAGGGATGGGAGGTTTACTGTATCCGTTCCCCACGGGTGAGGCTGCGGAAAAAGCACAAGATGGGAAACAGTTTTGTTAAATAACACTTTGACCAATTCCAGCACAAATGACTCGGACAGAATCAGGGAGCGATCACCGAACAGGGCATCGCAGAGAAGTTTCCAAACATGGACAAAAAGTTCCCAACATGTTGAGCATTCCTGAGTAAGACTGTCCAAAGGGCACTGGCTTGCCCCGAGTCTGCTTTTTCTTTCCTATTGCTACAGTGAACAGAGCACATATGGAAATTAAAACACCGTGGTCGGCAGCTGGTGTTTTCATTTCGTACCAAAGATTGCCCTTTGCGGGAAGTAAGAATCTTGTGCATGTGACCGTCCTTCAGCCAGTGTTATGATGTTTAATTACGGATAGCCTTTCTCAGGCCGCAAAAAACCCATGAACAAACTCACAAGTTAAAAATTTACCTCGGCGTCACACTCGGCTGGCTTCAGACGCAAAAGTGCTAAAAATAGTAAAGAAATGCAAACACACATCTCATTAGGAGCGTGAAATTTTAATTTAACCCAAACCTCTGCGACTAGTAACCACACGTTAACCTCACAAAGTGCCATAAATCTGGTGTGAAATATTCAGAGAGGACAGAATAGACTTACTGCCGTACAACGAGAACCACATTTTCCTCAGCTTCATCATGTCATAAATGTGACTGAGCAGAAGTCACATCAGCAGAGTACAGCCAAGACTGTGACAGGAGCACATTACTGTACATCTGTCAAAGTCACATATCAAACTGCAGGCTGCAGAGTCAGCTATTTAGTTTGGTTTTATTCTATGAAATTACACATCAAAACAGATCAAATACACCTTGCGCAAAGTGCGACTGTCATATTGAGAGATTTGGAGAAATGGTTAAATTATTGTGAGATAAATATAAACAAACCGAACAAGCCTGAGATGGCCACACCTAGCCACAAATCTGAAGAAATGCGAAACATGTATTTATTTCTTTTTTACACAGTATAATTAGAAAGATCTTTACCATGTACACTGTAGTCTTGTATATCATGTACAACACATGTGGGCTGACTGAGCCTCGATATTCAATTGATGATATGTGTGTAGTTAAGTTGTGAGGAAACGAAAATCTAAAGCGTGAAATAAGCAGAGGAATTGGATAGATAGTAATTTAATGATTTAATTCGCTTGTCTGCCAGATGAGGAACCAAAAGTAGAATAGACTTTCCTGCATTTCATTTGTTGACAGGTTAGAAACAGCTTTATTAAATCGCCTTTTACTCTCTATCTCTCTACACGAAGCTGAAGGAAAATGCAAACACATCCACAAACGTGAAAGGGGGAACTGAGATTTCGCACATCAACACATGTCGTGCAGAGCAGAAAAACAAAGCCAAACTTCTAATCGGCATTCTTTTCTAGAGGCAGCTCAAAGTATGTGGCACTACCAAAGTTGCACAAGAGAAGTTGGAGAATCATTTTTGGTGCCAAGCAAATAGGTTTTTCTCCTCCAGGTCTTCTCAGGACATGAACCATTGGTTATCTTTCAAGGAATGCCCAGCATGTGTGACGACCTTTTATGGCTCTCAGAACATGCTTCCCTCACTCGTGGCAACTCAGCACCTACCCAGACCCTTGATGAAGCTGATGACGCTGGCCTTACTCCAGCACACAGCTGTCCCGTCCATAGTGGGGAAGGAGGATACGGTATCCAGGGTTGTCCTGAGTCGAGACAAACGCTCACTAGTAAAATCCACCAACTTCCATGTCTTGTGTGTCAGCTGGCTCTGTCCTCCTGGGTATAGTTTCCATGGCGCACAGAGCCAACGGCGGGTGTGTTTTAAAAAGTGGGAGTAGTGTTTGGTACGGGAGACCACGCAATCGCTGGATCTCTCTCGCTCACTCTTTCTCTCTCTCTGAGCTGCTTCTGCTATGGCTTCCTCTAGCCTTGTGACCAACCGGTGCCTTCCAAGAGTGAAGGTCAGGTGGGAATTTTTAGCTGAGGCACAGCACAGTAATGAGGTCCAACATGCTATGGTGGCATAGTTGTGCGACTATATTTATCCTGGGGTAAACACTATACTGACAGAGCAGCCCTCCCTCCCCTTTGCTCGTATCTGTGATCCTGAAGCACGAGGCACAGACAACAGTGTGTAAACACCATTCTTGATCAGGCACACTCAAACTGTGCCCTCACAACTTATGGCTTCAAGAAAAAGAACTAGAGATTCTTAAGGCAATGGATTTAAGGAACTTCCCAGGAACAGAGGGTCTGTGTGCATGCATATCTGTTTCCTATAACATTTTGAACCTCAGTACAATGAAATAAACACGTCTTTTTATCTAAATTCTCCCATGCCAATACTTAAACTAGAAATTAAAGCCTAAAGAAAGGAGCCAGTGTGCATATCAAGCTCTTTTCTGTTGCTCTCAGCACTGTACGAAGTCTCAGACGCGACATGTGACTCTGCAAACAAGGAGCTCGAGCACAGCATGCATTACATCATCGCCATGCTGGAAACACCCTGAGCATGGTGGTGCTCCCTCGGGGACAATGCAGACAAGCTAACAAGTGCCTCTCTCTTGCACACACATAAACACACACACACACGTATATATATAATGCAGTCCGCAGAGACGCTCCCGCTGAGTAAACAACCACTTTAGCGGCCGTTTGTGAACAGAGTGGGTGGATATTTAGATACCACTGACCTCTTTAACTGGACCAGAAATTCCAATATCAACATAGACCTCTGAGAACACTTTGTTCAGCTTCTGTAAGAAACACTGACACTGCATTTCTGTGAGTGAGTAGTAGGAAATGCATGCTTTGTAATGCCCAACGCTACTATTCTCCTCCACCGCTGTACAGTATTCATACTTCATTCTTGGAATAAAAGGACACTGTTTTAGGTGCTCCAGCAAAATGTAGAGTTAATAAAAAAAAAGTGACAAAATGTTGTTGGCGAGTTTAGGCCGTAAAGTTTCAGGCCAAACAAAAAGAACCAACTCTTCCTAACAACCAGATGTGCCACACTGAATATATTTCCATATTAAACTCAAACTGAATAAGTCACTAGAACTAACATTAATCTATGACGATTCCATAATAATTGCTGCAAATCTCTTGGAATGCTATCTCAAGTTCAAGCTGAACTATTTCTGCTGAAGCGTTTATCAAAAGAGAGGGAACAGCTGGAGCCGATGGAGCCGCGGCGTTATAATACTAATACATAATTGCAAGTTCACAGTTTGAGTGTCTCAGAAAGTGGGAAGCGTGTGGAGAGAGAGAGGGAGTTATTACAGACCTCCATGAAAAGCAGATTAAAATGACGGTCTCAAACTATTGACCATCAGCCCTGCTTTAGCGAGCTGACATCATGCTGGAAACTGCTGCCCGCTGTGAGAGAGCGTTTCAGGCCAATTATATAAGTCCCTGTGTAAAAGCCTGCATCTGTCTTTTCCAACTAAACAGATGGGACTCCTCTACGTTTAACTTTAGTTGCTGTTGAAATACTATTTTTAGCTCCGCAAAAATAGAGCGGAAGTATTTTACGGCTACACAAAGAAGAAAGATTTAAGGATTTGGCCGAAAATGACACAGGAACTGCATTGTAGCTGAAAGAATAGGGATAAAAACAGTTCGAAATGATTCAAGATTAAAAACCAAACATAAAAATAGCACGATTACATTTCATGACAGTGGATAAATAACAAGCGAGCGGCATGTTTGACTTCTCATCAGACGAGCACTGCTGTGCCCGGCTCCCAACAGCTCTTCCCCTGCTCTGATTGGCTGATGGAGGACTGGCCTTCAGGCACTTTGAACAGCAGACCTGATGTCGCTGCTGCACAATGCCAGCTCTGTGCTGCTGTTTGTCACTGTTTTATTAGAGCTGGACACACTGACTTATTAAAGCCACTGTCAAAAGGGTCCTGAGTTTGTTAACCTTGTGGTCACAGTGCAAACAGAATGTGACCGATAGCAGAGGAACACACACTGCTGGTTGCAGAATCTATTTCAAAGCTGATCTTCTTATATACTGAACAACAAAGAGATAAACACCCACCAATATGTCTCACACCCAACATAAAGAGTGCTTTTAGACAAATCTTTACCAGCTACACTGTCTCTGTTGCCATCTTGTGATTCATTACATAACAGCTCGTGCAAATCGAGGCAGAGAGATGAGATTAGCGGAGCACATATTTAATGAAACGTTAAATGCATAGACGTGAGTCTCTGCTGATACTGTACAATGACTGTCTGTGCCTTTATCACTTTAGCAAAGTGACCCACTGTGAGGATTATGCAACATCATCAGGAGATGGCTCAATGTTGAGTGTGTAGACAGGGACAGCATGTTCTGTGGTATCTCTTTACATTCAGATTCAAAAGATATATACAAGGTACCACACTGCCCAGGCGCTGCAGCTAACTCACTCGCATTTCTCACTTTATATATTAGGCGCTGGCAGGTTTTATTTTAGTAAGTAAACAATTTTTGGTTTAGTCAGGAATCTATATTACACTTGCTTAAACAGCTAAGCTGCTGTTTCCCTGTTTACTGCCTGCTCTTCCAGTTTTCTGCAGGTTTTAGCATCCATCCTCTGTAGCACCTCTCATATCTCTCCTAAAGAAGAATAATGTCATGGTCAAAAGCAGGAAGGCATTCCATCCCAGTCTCATGGGCCCAGTGGAAGGCAGTGAAGCTGTGAGCTCTGGACAGAACATGCAACCAAGCTGAACCTTCGCTAATCCTATTACTGTGTCCTCGCACCTAATAAGCGCTATTTAGACTCTGTCAGAAACTCAAGTAAAAGACGCTGAAGTGATATACAGATGCAATTTAAAGAGAAGGTGCAGAATTCATATGCAGAATCACCAGCAACAGAACTTGTGCTGCACAGTTCATTTGAGTACTGTTAGCTGTATCATAACACTGTGTGCTTCTGCAGTAATATGCAACTTCTTCTTGGGCAGTAACTCTCAGCAGAGTTATGTATCTGGCTGTTGCTAAGAGACAACTGAAAACCTGTGGTGCTCTGTTGCTAAAAGTACAGTAAGATGCTTCCAAGTTCGCAGTTACTGGCATCGTGAACAATGCAATTGTGCTGAGCTCGATCTGCAGCGAGCAGCAGCATGTTCCAGTCACAGACCACAACAGGAAAATGAGGCTATAAAGTCATGTTCCCAGTAGAGCTGCAGTCAGTCAGCCCTGTCAGCTGAGCACAACAACAAGACAAACTGCTACTCACTTCCACTCCAGGACTTCAGCAGGGACTTGATGCTGATTTCAAAGAAGCCTGAGTCCTGCTGACTGGCCATGGCTGCAGCTTCTTACTGAGTGTCCCCCCTACAGTTGTGGTTTCCCTCCAGCAGCAGCAGCAGCAGCAGCAGTTGAGCTGGGACCAGCAGGTATTGCCTGCTGTCACCTCTCTGTGACGCACACAACGCTGTGCTGACGAGACCCTGAGAAAACACACTAGCGCTGCTTTCGCCCTCCTCTTGTGTCCTGTCCTTGGCTATCAGCCCTCTCTCTCTCCCTCCCTCCACACTCTCTCAACATCTCTCTGTCTCTCTCTCTCTCTCTAAAGCTGTGGCAGGCAGTGGGCGGCAATGCAAGCTCCCTTTAAATAACTGCGCGGAGGCTGAGAGTGCAGGAAGCAATCCTCTTAGCGGAGCGCAGTTAATAATAACTACTGTTTGTCTGCGTGCAAGGCCTGATAATGATGACAGCGCCGGGCGAGTGCATCTTTCAGAATGACTGGGGAAAATCTGACGGATCACCGCCACTGACAGAGGAGATGGAGAATGTGAGAAGCGTGACACATTACAGGGAACATCTGGGAGAGGAGTGGAAAGAGGAAGACGCTTAAAGTGATCAGCAAGCAGACGGGATCAAGGGAACATAAAGGATCTAAACGGGAGCAGGGGCTCACTGATGACATTTAACCCCTTTACTACTTCACAGAGCCAAGTTTAAACAGGAGTCAAATAAAATCTCTGTCAAATATTGTGCATTTCCTTTTGCTTTTGCACATATCTTTTCAATTAATGGGTTATTCATTTGATCTAAAAAGGGTCACAAAAAGGAGAAGGAGCTCTGTCACAATTCCATAGAGCCCAATGAATCATCTTGAACTTCCTAATTTTGCTCCTCCAACAGTCAAATTAATTAAGTTATTAATGTGCAATGATATGAAACAGAAAACAAAAAAGATCCACATAATATTATTTTTGTAACTTTTGCTCAACATGAGCCTGAGACAAAGAATTATTTTTTTTTTAAAATCAAACAAAACATTTTACATAAATTCTCTGTTTATTAATTAATCAAGTGACAGTTTCAGCACTATTGCTATTAAACAGCTCTAAAGTTGCGCAACAGACTTCCAGAATATACAGTAATAAATAAATATCCTTTGCTAAAGCAGAAGATCAATAGGATCTAAACTGAATGGGTGCCCTTTTGCCCTCAAATGCATGAATCCAGACAAGCAGGATTTCCCTTTATCGCCCTTTTAATGGATGCCATTAAAATCCTTTTACAATACTCAAACTATTGTGAAAAGAAAATAAGCTTTCCTGCAGCTTCTTATGAACACGTAACAATTAAATCCAATATTCACATCATTTTGCTGTGTAAAAAAACAGACGCATGTCTTTAACCATATGGACGACAACCACATCCTCCAATCCCCCCTCCTCTACTGCCTCTCAGTGCTCTTAGTATAATCCTATCAGAACTCTGTCTGTCCATCAAGCGACAGCCACTTGACCTTGATTACATAACACAGTGTGATGGAGATGCCATCAGTGGTGGCTGCAGCGTTTGGTAAACACATATTTTACTTGTCCTGATTACAACAAA